TGTTGTCCCGGATTGCAACAACTATTGAATGACAAAGAAAGACGAAAGAGACGGGCATTTCGTTAAGATTCGGAAGTGGACATGTTCTCTGACGGGATATGCCGCCTATGCTTCCATTAATGCCCTCCCGTCATCGTTTGTTGGGAAATCTGTACTTCCAATCAGTCTTGAGCTCACTCCACGACAAAGTAACATCTTGCAGCTAGCTATAGTAGTTCCGTCCGACTCGTGCCCCTGGAAATGAGGATATTGCAACGATACCGTGAAACGCGATCGATCGCGACGCAGTGCCTGGGCGTGCCCTGAAGTCGCCGAGGCAGCCCCCAAAGTACATCAGACGGCGGGCGATACGATTAGGCCGCGAGTCACACTTCACAGGCGTTTTAGGCCCTGCGCGTCGCTGTAGGAAATCTGCGCGCATATTGAGAGACCGTTACCACCATAACCTGACCAGCCGGAAGCTGGTTCTGGTTCCCTATGCATACACGCTAGAGACCGGTTATCTGGTACAACAACTCAACGAAGGGAAGAGGATTAAAGCTGCTTTCATTCATATCAAAACAAAGTGGCACAAAGCCTGTGTATCGAAGTTCCAAGGGGCTAAATTGGATCAACTTTTACTAAAAGTTCAGTCTTCTACCAGTGCTATTGATGTACCTGAAGAGGCACTCGAAGACTGGCGGTCAGAACCAGCTTCTGGCTGGTCAGGTCATGGTGGTAACGGTCTCTTAATATGCGCTTAGAGTTCCTACAGCGACGCACAGGGCCTAAAACGCCTGTGACTCGCGGCCTAATCGTATCGCCCGCCGTCTGATGGACTTTGGGGGCTGCCTCGGCGACTTCTGGGAACACCTAGGCACTGCGTCGCGATCGATGGCGTTTCACGCGGTATCGTTGCGATATCCTCACTTCAAAGAAAGGGCGTCGCCAGAGGAGGCAGGGAAGGGAAGCTGCCCCCGTCTAGAGATTAAAAAAAGTAGCAAAATGCAAAGCAACCAAAGTGTCTTGGTTTTCTTGACCGATAATTCCTTATTACAATTATTGTGGTTGTAGAGGTAAGACAGTAAAACAGTAAAAGTTTATGTGCTCTGCACTATACCTACAGTTAATAATTTTTTTATCCTTCATATGTCAACTTGCCTATCTCTGGGCCATCAGCTGGCGACACTCTTGCTTCAAGGGGCACAAGTCGGACGGAACTTGCTCGCTGCGTGATGTTACTTGTCGTGGAGTGAGCTCAAGACTGCCTGGAAGTACAGATTTCCCAACAAACGATGCCGAGAGGGCAATAATGGAAGCATAGGCGGCATATCCCATCAGAGAACATGTCCACTTCCGAATCTTAATGAAATGCCCGTTTCTTTCGTCTTTCTTTGTCATTCAATAGTTGTTGCAATCCGGGGCAACAAGGGTATGACTGCGCCGAACATTCCCTCTTAATAGGTAAAATAGTATGAAAAGGGCCTAACTATGAGTCGCATCTGTTTTCTGAATACAAAATCAGCATCAGCAACCACAAATTATATGGAAACGACACCAAGAGGGGCAAAATCCTTCAAGTATGGAATTTCCAAATTTTGAATAAATTATTGGACGATTAACGGCCTATTTACACACCAGAAACTGTTTTAACTTCAATATAATATTTCTAGCTAGTAGTGCACGTCCAAATTAGCTGGAATCGACATCCGAAACATCACGCAGAGTTAAAACTATCAAATTCAAAATTTAACCATTATTTTGAAAATACTCCAAATTTGGGGCCTAAGGGTCAGATATGCAACTTTTTTTAATGCCGCCATTGGCACCAGCGACCCTAAATCATTCAAAAACGACCCCTAAAATGCCGAAATTCGTCAATTTTTACAGGTTTAAAATCTTGAACACCCTTTTGAACAGAAGTGTTCAAATTTTGAACCCACACGAAAATTTCGGTGGGTGCTGCGGGTCAAAAGTTTTATTTGGGTCCTAATGAAAGCACGATACGAGTTTCATGCTTTTGTCACAAAATGGCAGCGAAAAAATTTTTTACCAGCCTAACGCTACTAGCCAGTACCACTGATTTAAATATAAATTTAAATCTGTGCCAGTACATTGGAAATTCATAACCAGGATATAAGCAAACAACAGTATCATTTAGTACTGCTGAAGAACTGATGTAGGTACCTAGAAAGTACGAAATCGTACTATTGCTTCTTTATGTGCCGGACATCAATTATTTGGAAGGTAGCCAGTACTAGTATAATCCTAAACGTATCAGAAAAGTTAATCTGCATTTAATCTATCTAGCAGTACTACTTCGTTATATTACATGATTTGCAGTTGCAGCTAACCATTATGTTTCACTTTACCGTAAATGTCAATTAATTGTCAATGTCCGCCAGCTTATAAAGGATCCCAACAAGCGCACGTTGTATGTATGTCGTAGGTATTTTCTAAAACCCCTCATTTTATAAAACGCCTACTCATATCGTGAATCACTGAGAATTTGACGTTTGGGGTAGTTTCCCTTCCCCTTCTAGATCGATAAGGGATCCCATTTATCGCTCTCGTAGGGGAAGGGAACCAGTCGCTTAGCCCGAGAAAGTACAAAGTGCTACAGTTTGCCCGCGTTTTATAAACTGCCTAGGCTAGGCATTTTAAAAATGCCTTTTAGGTCAATGAAATTAACGAGCTTTTTTGTTTAGGATAACCAATGACATAGATAAAATACCCAACAGACTGCCAAACCAAATGCAGTTTTGCTAAATACAACCATAATGCAACTGCGAACAACGGGTTGCCTGTAGGTATTTTATCTGTGACAATGAATAAATGGATGGCAAATGTCGATCAAAACTTTGTACCATTATTTGTTTGAAAAATAATCAATTGTACCATTAGAGAAATTCGGGATATGTCCGTGACAACTTTTTCTGTGCCTGCTTTGAAAATAAACAATCAGAAACCCAAAATTATCTTGAAGGACACAGTTTTCCAATACTTTAGGCCACAAATCCGGCTATTGACGCCGGAATCCCTCAGAATAGTATAATTACGCTCTTTCCTTGGCTTATATCTCAAGGATCGTCTGACTTCATAGTCGCATTTACAGATACTACCAGGGATACTACAGATATCGGCATTTTGCGTGTGACCCACTTACATTAGGATATATTTTCCTATAACGTTTTTTGACAGCACAAAATGACACTAAACATTTACCAATGCTTAAAGTAAAATGGGAATTATACACAAATAAGTATTTTGAGTTGGATCCATCGTTCCTCGAAATGGGGGTTGAAATATATTATGTTATCAAAAATCTCTAAACCTTCCCCATATAGTTTTATTCGTTGAAGTTTTAAAAATAACAGCGACTATAGTTTCGGCGTACTGCCATCATCAGGCGACTAGAAGTGTATCACAATATAGCAAATTTGAAAACATTAAGAGCTAGTACTTACTGTGAAAGTTAACAGGAAAACGGTAAATTACAAACGTTGAAGACGGATAAGACGAACATGTTGTTTTTTTAATTATTAACTGGCCGAAGCCAAGTGAAAAACCTGAAGGGTGGTTAAAACGGAAAGGTTGTCCTAAGTTTCAAGACGAATTAATTATCAAGCCTTGTTAAGACAACCAACCGGGGGGTTGAATTTTTACATTAAAGTTGAAATTTGGGTTAACCTAAAAATGAACAAAGTTTTAGATTTAAAAAATAACTTATCTAAAAGGTACTTACACATTTCAAAAGAACGGGGGGGAAAAATAAACTTATAAAAGTATTGAAACTATTAAGATGACTACATATTTAAATTATTTAAGTAAAGTTTTAAATTCGAGATCATGCAGACGGCATGTCTCGAAATGATTGACAATTCGGTATAAGAGGAAACTGACATATCGATAAATTTTGAAAAGATGTATAGGGTGAACTGAAATTATTGTAAAAACAGAAGATTGTTATTAAAGCCGAGAACTTCGTTAAGAGAGAGGTGCGGGTTCTTTTTAACTTGGTGGTAAATTTCTTTCAATTCCAGAAAGTTCAATCTTATACCTTTATTACATATATGCAGAATTTCGAAATCGGTGTTCGGATTGAAGGAGTGGCCCGTTTCTAGGATGTGTGAAGCGAAAGAGGATTTTATTGAGGAGGAATTATTGTTTTTAATACATTGAAGATGTTCTTGAAACCTAGTAGAAAATTTTCTCCCTGTTTGGCCAATGTAGGAAGATTTGCAGGTGGGGCAATTAAGTTTGTAAATGCCGGATTTGTCTATTAGAGGGATTTGGTCTTTTGTGTGTGAAAGAACTGAATTTAGATTGCTGTTGGCTGTAAAGATTATGCGGATGTTGTACTTTCGAAAAGTGTTTTGAAAACTATGAGAGAATTCTCCGATATAAGGCAATACTTGATATGTGGTTGGAGTATCTACTTGTAAGAGGGATAAACTGGTGGTATTGTGGATCTCGGATTTATGAAGGAGTTTTAATTGGAGATTTTGAATCAATTTTAACGGGTAATCATTTTGGGCGGCTAATTGGTAAATAATCTGGAGTTCTGCGTTGTATTTGGCTTGGTTTAAAGGTAAATTAAAAAGTCTGTGAAAATAGAATCTGAATGCTGCAAGTTTATGTTGGAGAGGATGAAAGGAGGTGAAGTGGATTATATTACTGGTGGTGGTGGGTTTTCTATAAATTCCAATATCGAGTTTTTGTCCTAGATGTTCAATTGAGAGATCTAAAAAGTTGAGGGTTTTGTGTGACTCTAATTCAAGGGTAAATTTTAAGTTTTTATGTAAGGTGTTTAAGATGTTAAAGCAATTGTTTAAATCGGAGTCATTCCCTTCAAATATCACAAAGATGTCATCTACATAGCGTTTATAAAATTTAAAGTGTTTCTTGATGGTAGGGTTGGATAAGAGTTTTTTGATTTCTAGATTTGATAAGAATATTTCAGCAAGTAAAGGTGAAAGGTTATTCCCCATAGAGATTTTTGATAACATAATACACAAATAAGTACTTGATTTTTTATTTTTTTAATGAAGTTTCATTTAATGAATGCAGCTAACTTAGTCTGTGCTTTGAGCCAGTTGCTTATTTATCCACGTCACATACTTGGAAACCCTCGTATTAGCATCCGGAAAATCGACACCGCATTTACTACCAATTGACACGATTCCTTCCTGGTACCACGTCCCACCACTTTTCGCCACTATAGGAGCGCCAGCATTTCCAGAACATATATAATCCTTGTAGCCTTTCAAACCATCGGTGCAAATAAAACCTTCCCCAATGTGAACATTGTGCTTAGAGAATTGCAATTCACAAGCCTCGTTTGTAATAACACGACGAATTACCACTTTCTTAGTTTTTACTTCTTGATTGTCTACATCTCTTCCCCATCCAGTCATAATAACCTTATCTTCTGGTTGAACCAACGATTCGCCTTTCGCCGGTAGACAAATTGGCTTTATGTAATCTACCAAAAATGACGTAAGCTATTTGGTGGGTCGTAGGCTGCCTACCTGAATATTTCACCGTGTCATTTAGCTTGATCAATGCGATGTCGTCATCGAAATTATTACTTCCAGTTCGAAAACTCTCATATGGAATAATCCTTTCAATACCGAACTCTTCGCTATGTTCACCTTCGCCTAAAACGTGCACACCAAGCAACGCTCCAGTTCTGCAATTATTTCTTATTTACTATTGCCTTGGCGAAGAGGTACTTACGGAAGTTGATTTTTTGTTGTGACACATACCGCAGACGTAAGTACGTATCTGTCATTAATTAAAGATCCAACACAACGATACGGGCTTTTCCCTTCGTATTTGAGTTGAACTGTCCATGGAAATTCGCCTTCTCGGGCAGTGGCTCTTAGTTCCATACCCGAATCCACAATTTGATGTCCACAGTTAGGTGATTCTGGCAATTCGCTTTTGCCATGGGCGTTAGGATACCCTACGCATAACGTGTACCAACGATTAAACAAAAGCAAGCTTACCGATTAGGAAGAAGAGGCAGATGATGCGTCCTAACATGTTGACGATCTCGAATGTTGTGTCAAACGCGACGTTTCCAAGGTTATCAACCTTAATTTATCTAAATGGGTCTTCGATGGGAATTCATTAACGACTAAGGTTAAATGTTTCATTTTTTTGTATCAGATAATTGAAGTTCTTAGTAATCCATTTACCAATTTTTGGAAAGCGCTACCTTTCTCCACCCGCTACTACTTTTTTGTACTGTGGTCATTGAGTAAAAAGTAAATGATGTGGAAAGTTTGGCTGGTTTGGTTATCGCAAGGGCATATATGCATATATACGGTAAAAAACCTTTGTCATCTAAAAAAAATAGTAGAAACTAATTTCTCCATCCCAGGGAAAACCATGCTTTATACGTTTATTATAATATTATCTCGCAATATCTTTATTATCCAATAATGATATATTCCATAGATATCGTTGTGGAGACAATTGTTGTCCAGTCTAGTCTCTTATCGGGCGAAAATATTTACCAGCAAATAAAAAAACCGACCTTTAGTTGAGGCTAAATAAATGATAACCTCGACTCCTGTGCCATCAACGCTGTCCTCTGTGATTCATGTTGCCATAATAAACAAAAAGTTGTTGATAGGACTAATAATAAAGGAATGATTATTTCCTTTTTTTTCTTGACCTTTTTTGGTTAGTTGGTTTTAATACCACGCGCTTAATTGCATTTTCTTTTTCTCTTCTTGATCATATTTGTTAGGATCTTAAGGCTCCAGCTGAAATTTTTGAGCGGACACTAGATCAAACGCTGTTGATTCTTCCATCCTCTTGGCCATTGTGTATTTAGGATAAGTAACGGCGGAGCGAGTAGATATGATTGGGGTACGTTAAATGTAGAAAAAACCTGAACGAAGGCCAGTTACATTTGGCACCTTCACCAGCAAAGAAAATAATAACTAAAAAAGTGGGATTTGTGCATAAAATACATAATGTCAGTTTTCAAGTACAAAAATCACTGAAGAATTCGAGACGATCCATTTCCTCTTCAGTTAATGGCCTCGGTGGAGGTGGTGGTTTCACTTTAAAATCAACCGGCGGAGAGCGCCACTTTAAACCTGCAACAATTTGAGACTAGAACACATCATCTTCAGCGTAATGTAGGTACTTACTTCTCGTTGTTTGATAGGTGGGCGGTTCCAACAGTCGAGTAAGTTGCTTCATTAGCCTCTCAACTTGAACAACCTTCTTTGCAGCCTCCTCGGCAAGCAGCATAGTCTTCTCCTCCTTTCTGTAACAGCTCATCTCGGCCTTATACACTAAATCGTCGGGCAGTCGATCCAATTGCAACAGATAGTCGCGATAACCCGTTTCGATGCCCTTCATCATATCCTTCATTGTCAAATTGGAATCGTTCATACCTATGCGATTTTCGTAAACGTCCTCGACGAACACGTGCAAGTTTATCGCCTCGTCGTTGGATATCAGCTCTTTAAAGTTTCCATTTATCAGTTCCAAAGCCAGTTCCTCCAAGTATTTCGCCCGTTCCTCCTCCCATCTATTTGGAATGTCTTAGATAAAATGTAAAAGCGTCGGACTTACATTATCTCCCGTTCAAGATTATCAATTTCGTCTTGTAATGAAGTAACTTGATTATTGAATGATTTCTCGATGTACTTCATTGCCTCCTTGACCTGCTCTAGTGGTACAGCTAACTCCTCAGAATGCAGGAGGGTATTCAAATTTTGTAGCTCGATAAAGGAAAACACTTTGAGAAGTTGATTTGGTTCAGTAAAGAAGAGCTCAGGTTCGTCCTGCATTTCTACATCCTCAACGAATTGATCGATGAGATTGGCCAATGATTGTACTTCCCCCACTGGCGCAAGCTTAAATCTCTCGAACACGGACGGATCTCCAATACTTTCATTCGACTTTTCCTGTTTCAAATAAAAATCATGATTTTCTCTCCAATCCATAGGGCTGACAAGGTAGAGGAATTTCTGATACATTTTGCAGTTACGCCATTTCTCCTCCAAATTAAATACCGTTGACTGTATCGAGCCAAATTCTTTTGATAGATTTAGGAGTATTTCATTTTGCTCGTCAGCTTGTGATTGTTGCTGATCAGATTCTGTTATTAGAGCCATGGTGGTTGAATAGTCCTGCTCTAGAAATTCCTCAAACTTGTTGACGTACTTTTGCAATTCCACTTCGATTTCTTGAACGACTTTCACTTCGGTTGCGAAGTTCTCATCAATTTGCATGATATCGTCCTCTCTATAACCCGTTACTATCTTCGTTCGAAGTACATTCCTCACGTCCTCGATGTAATCTCGCCTGTTAAACTTACACGCCACCGGACGTCCTTCTACCAGTGTAAAGAATTTCGGATCAACATGTAGGATAGTTTTCATGCTTTTCACTTCGGGCTCTTCCACGTACAGCCGATTCAGCAGATCCATCTTTTGCCGTGTACGTTGACTTGACCTTTCGTTGTACTTGCGCTCGTTCTCCCGCTTGATTCTGTTCTTCCGCCAAGCCTTCGACATTATCCTGTACGAGAATTCTTCCAGGTCTTTCGGGTATGAAAATGGCAAAGCTTCCGTGTGAATGTTTCTTTTGTTACTCTCATTTATCTTAACTCCGGCTGTAAAATAATGATCTCGAGGTTTACCAGGTTTTCCAAAGACTCGTTCGTAAACGGATGGCGGTTTTAACTTGGGTTCTTTAATTTTCTGTTCGGTTTGTCTTTCACACACCATCCTCTTCTTTTCTTTCACTTTTTTATCACATTCGACACCAATTGAAGACATCTTAATAATAAATGTCAAAAAGGGACATTTGAAATTGAATCACTTACGCGCGTCCTACTTTCACTACTATCGATTCATTTACTGTTTCTCTGGCAACACAACATTTTTTGGGGTTATTGGATTGCATACTGTTGAAAAGTGTTCTGTACAAACTTTGTATAAAGTATCAAGGAGTGAATGTTATAAAATAATTGAAGTAGTTGTATTCTATAAACAAATTAAAAAGCTTGTCAATATTATTCAATATCTTTGATTTTGAGTATGGTTGTATCAAGATAAGATCCAGGGTACAATTTTCACACATACAGAAGTAGTTGGGGTGTACAGAATAGAATAGTGTGGCAGCGAAATGAACAGCAGACCCAGATTTTGTTCAAATTGATTACGCTACATAATATTTTTGGACGATGGTATAATCGTTGAATAAGGAATCATATAATTAGTAATTCACGAACTTTAGGTACTACGTTTTAAAGCTAATGGTCAATTTTAACATCCAACCTTAAAAAGTAAAATTTTCAAATACATGTTTTTCGCCCCAGAACGTATCAGAAATTATCAACAATCAAAAACAAGTATAAATTGTGCACAACTTTTGCGCAGATAAAGCGCATTTTTTTAAAAAAATCGAATTAGCTTTGTGGTTGATTTTTGGTAGATAATTAATGGGGAGGGAGCTCTTTACACATAAACATTTAACGGTCGCCTGGCATACATTCAAAATCCTCCGACACTCCAATCTGCAGATATTTGCACTGAAAGCTTTGACATCAAAAATAAATATGTCTCGTCCTATAATGTTCCACTTGCCTTTTATAAGTACGATACTTCGTGGTCAAGGTATTTGCTTCGACTTCATCAATAGATATGTCTCGTCCAGTCGATTCATTTTGCCTTTGAGAGTATACTTTTCTCCGACAAACCGTTTTCGACATATTCGCCCTTAAGGTTTTGATATGACCATTGGATATATTTCTTCTAGACATCCCAATCGCCCTTTGTAAGTAGTGCCCTATTCCGACAATGTGTTCTGGAGGTATAAGGGAATATATCCGATCTCGATAAGGGGTCGAGGAGGAGGACTATGGTATGGTTGGTAGAAATTAATTCCTTTCATTGAGATCTTTCATTAGAGCCCCCCCCCCCTCCAAACCTCTTCTTTTTTTATTAATGTCTGCGTAAATTTTTTAAAACAAGAATGAATCTAGAACTAGTTGGGATTGGTAGAACTAAAAGCGTTAACAAATGGGAATTAAATAATGGCCACCTTCCTTAACAATCCGCTACTTTTGGGCATGATTAGTCTTCCTTTTAAAATGCACGTCCATAGGAGGGAACGGGATTACTATCATAGGTCGGATGAAGTACTTTAATACACCAATTAGATAAATGAACCGCACATACCCATTGGCAATTGCGTCAGAACATCAAACAACGATTTTAAACTAAATTGGAAGTTATCCACGGAATGTATTTAGAGATTCTGGTGTTGCCATCTGGGAAATCGTGGCCGCAGGTACCACCAAATGAAACTATGCCGACTTGGTACCATGTTCCACCACTTTTAACAACAACAGGAGCGCCCCCGTCACCGGCACAACTGTAATCCTTGAAACCCTTCAGAGTGTCAGTGCAAAGACAACCATCGCCAACAGTAACACTGTACTTGGCAAACTTATCTTTGCAAACATCGTCAGCGATAACGCGACGAATTATCACCTTTTTAGTGTCCACTGGATCGCCCTCAGCATTCATACCCCATCCAGTCACAATCACTTTATCTTCTGGTTGTAGTAATGATGCTGATTTTGATAGACAGATCGGTTGTACATAACCTGAAATGTCACATTGAACCTTATCAAAGAGACGCGCAGTACCCACCTGAATATTTAACAGTATCGTTTACCTTGATCAGCGCAATATCGTGATCGAATTGATTTTTTCCATCTTCAAAGTGTTCATGCCGAATTACCATTTCTATTCCGTAGAACTTACTACGGGCGTCTTCGTGTAAACGATGTACACCAACTACCACTCCAATCCTGAGAATTGGTTTTCGTTTCAGCCGACTTTTAAAACGGGGGTGCTTACATTATGTAATTTTTCGCACTGACGCACACCGCCGACGTCAGTACATATCTGTCGTTAATTAAAGAACCCACACATCTGTACGGATGAGCACCATCATATTTTAGTAAGACTGTCCATGGGAATTCACCTTCCTGAGCAACGCGTCTTAGTTCCATGGCCGAATCAATTATTTGATGTCCACAATTAGGTGCTTCTGGCAGTACATCATTGGCATAGGCAAAAGCGTGCACTAAAAAATTCAACGTGTACAAACTCTTTCAGGGTGAAAACTTACCAATGAAAAGGAGCAAACATGTCCGTTCTAGCATCTTGACGGTTGAACATTGCACTAAACTCGTGGTATCCAGGGGCAATCCACTTATCGTGTGGACAGATTTACAACAACATTCCTTCAATTCTTCTTCAACCAGATTCGCAGTAAAGAATTTGCGAAAAAGGCCAAGATTAACTTTTTGCTTTTTGTGAATAAATACAGGTTTCGATTATATAAACACAAATAAACAAGTTGGTCTATGTTTCACAAGTTGTTGTTGGGTGCGATAAAACTTAATAACATATTTTTATCGATTTCCTGAAGTAGGTGTGCAATTTTACATTTAATTTATCGACAAAAGCCGTACCAGCCTCAAACGAAGTGACTGAGAATAAACTAATTTTATTGTAGGTACCATTATGAACAATAAAACCGAAAATGGGTTTTCTTCATTTTAGCTAAATTATTCTCATTTATTCAAAAATGCAGCAGAAGAGGTTTAACGTACATATTAACATTCAACCCTTGGAAACAACAAACAATCTTGGATTTTGAAATGACACCAAGTCCGTTGCATTACCCAATAATAATAATAATAAATAATAAATAGGAAGTTCATTGAAAATGCGAGAATGTACGTGTTCGTCAAAATAGCTAGGTAGTGAAACGCAAAAAAATAAATCACAAAAAAAACTATGGTTTGAAAATGTATTTTCGAAGAAACATATATGTAATATAATGTAGGTAATCGAGCGGCGCGGCGCAGTGGTCAAAAATGGATTTCTTTTGAATCAGACTGAAATTTCCTCGGAAATTTCAGATATCACTTCCAGTTGAGGCGGAAATAGATGCAATTTTTGTTTTTCAAGTGATACCCCTATGTTTTCTTAAGATCTTTGAAAATAGCAACATTTTACCTTATGACAACATAAAATATGAATATGGCCATTGAATAAAGAATTTATTATTCAATGATAGGGACTCTAGAAATGATTATTTTTCAATGTAGTCTCCTCTAACATTCCTGTTTGTCTGAAAAAAGGTCGTCAACAGCAGCTTTTAAGCAATCATCCGAGTCAAAATGGCGATCCCGAGTCTATGGAACGAACTGAATAACGGATTAAAAGCTAAAAATGAAAATCCACTCCCAGATTTACTATTGGTAGGTATGTAAAATTTTACATATTTTACTTAGTAGTTTTGAGAATTTTAAATCGAGTTGGATGCTGTTAACGAAAGACGAACGACGAACTAACCATGTAGATTATTATTTTCGAGCGAAATATAAGACTGCCTTCAGGTAATGATAATGATCCTGATAATGATAAACAAGTAGCATTCTTGGTTAAGTCAAATAAAGGAGACAAAGAGGGGTACCGACAATTCTAATTCTCTATCGAAACTTAAGAAGAAAAATACCTGTAATTACTGTCAAAAGAAGGGTCACTGGGTGAGAAGCTGTAGAAAATGGATTACAGGCGGTCCTCCTAAACGTAGTAGTAGTTAGAACTAGTAGCAATGCTGAAAGTAATGCAGTAGAGTCTCAGGTCGCATTAGTCTCGATAGATAATGAAGTTTTAGCTACCGATCCAAATTCAGAAGATTGGTTTGTCGATAATCGGGCTACTAAGCATGTAACTAGTCGCTCTGATTGGTATTGTACGTTTGATGAGTTTAAAGATCCGCCCAACAAAAGCAACTGGAGAAGAACGTTTGATTGCTATCGGGAGCTGTACTTTCAAGTTTTCTTCGATTGTCAATGGGAAGAACCAACACATTTTATTTAAAGATGTTTGGTATGTTCCGAAAATTTCGAGAAATTTATTTTCACCATTCGCTGCGCATGATACAAATTTAAACATTGAATTCAGATCCACGGTAACCACTTTCTCGTTTTTAGTGGACGATATCATAGTCTTGAGTGGTATTCGTGTGAAGTTTGGATCATTGTTTAAGGCAAATAATAGAGTTTTGTCTCAAGATAGGGCATCAATATAAATAGGAGAGGCAAACGATCAATTACAGTTATACCCCGAAAGGGGGGGGGGGGCCATCAGGACCCGTTGCGTCAAGAAAAAGCTTGAAAAACAGTTTCATCTTAAAGTTAAGTTTGATGATAAAAGTTGGCTATGATCGAAAATACGATATCGCGTGTACATTCCAGAGAAGAAATGCGTTGCTTTATCTCGAGATGTCAAATGTAATGAAGCAACTCAAGAATGCGGGGAAAAAGCGAAAGTATTCTTCAGGAGTAGATTGCCATAAGAAGATCTTAACGAATCAGAAAAAGAATAGCAGATTGCTAAAATATTGATTACTCAATCTGAAAGCGATACAAGCACTAAAGAAAGCCAAAAAGAAAGAGATGATGAGTGCAGTACAGAAGGTAAACATGAGAGAACGTTATACGTAAACGAGACATCATCCGGATTCCAAAGTACTAAGAAGATTATGTTATGGCGATGACGACAGAGATTCATCCTCAAACATATGAAGAAGCGCTATGAGATAAAAATAGTGCGTACTGGAAAAATGCCATGGACAAATGAAATGGCTTCTCTAATGGAAAATGGGTAATTACCCATAGGCGGTAAAGCAACTGCCTGTAAGTGGGTTTATAAATTAAAATTAGATACAGGCGGAAGGTATTGATTACAGTAATACTTTCAGTCCAGTTGCAAAGTTGCAAACTATTCGCTTGATACTTGGTAACAGAGAAAATGCGAAATCGATTGCATTTTGATATGGAAAGTTGACAGAAAAGCTCTTTATGGAACAGCCAGATGGATACGATGTTGGTTCTGGTAGAGTCTTCCCGCTCAATAGGTGTTTATATGGATTAAAGCAGTCTCCCAGAATCATCGTATTGGAAAATGTCTAGAAAAATTACAGACAGTAAAGAGAAAAATGGTGCCAACATTGTTTTAACATGATGGTGTTATTGCAGTTACTCGTAAAGAAGATCTTGAAGACTTTATCGACCAACTTAAAGATACCTCAAATGAAGCAGCCTATTTCTTGGGTCTTGAAATTGAGAAATTGAAGAATGGACATCAAGATTAGCAAAAAATCGTATGCTCAGAAACTACTTGAGCATTTCAATTCCATTCAATTTAAACCCTACTATTGACGGTGTCACGAGAGCTAAAACATCCTTCGGTATATATATAGCTGGAACTATTGAACTTGCTTTTTCTATACAGGGTAGTGACTTGCGTAACGCATCATAGGGATTTCAATGTAAAATTCATAACATGCAATTATTGGCTCCCCAAATTATTTTAGATACAAAAATGTATTAAGGTTTTTTGTAGAAAAAAATTTTTTACGTCAATCAACCGTATTAGTTTTAAATTTTTGGCATAATAAAGACGGAAAATTGGAAAAATAAAACCCCCATCTTTTTCAATTAACTGTGATGCCATGGAATTTTATAATACAAAAACTACGCCAATATCCGTCATGCCATGGAATGTCTGCTATAAAACAAATCAAATTCTATCAAAAAGTATTATATTTAGAACAGCGAATTGAACTTAAAGAAAGACCAAATTACTAAAAACGGTTTCCTAATATAACAATTTACAAATAAATGTTCGAATAAGTCACCATTAACTGCAAGACAGTGTAACCAAGTCGATCATAAAATCCATTTCGAACTGCTGCTAATTGATAACTGGATATCTTTTTGTTTTAGAAAATTCCATGGCATCGCAGATTATTGAAAAAGATGCGGGTTTTATTTATTTTATTTTTCCAAAAAAGTCACGCTAAAAAAGGAGTGTTTGAATGCTACAACGATGCTGATTTCGGAGGCTGTAATAAAACAAGTCGTGTAACGTCAAGAGTACTGGTCAAATATACCAATGGAGCTGTTTCTTGGATTACGACAAGGTTCCGTTACAGAGTCCACAGCTGCAGCAGAAATCGTAGTTGCAAGTTGCAAGTGAAGCCGTAAGGAAGTGATTTAGTTGACTGGAATTCTACAGGAAATTACACTTTTAAAGAAAATTCCAGTTATCCAGATTGATAACACAGCAGCCATTAGACTTTCTGAGAATCGCGAAAATCATCGCAGAACCCAACACATTCACAGGAATAACTCACTTCTTTATTCGTGAGCACGTTAGTGAGGGTAGGTACATTGGTTGTAGAAAAGGATTCCAGGTAGCTGACATTATGACCAAGTCTCTCCTCAAACAAGATTACATATTATTTGGGTAAAATAATTATTAATTTTTTATCAAACAAGGGAAGGTGTTTAAGTCAGTTGAAGTTAGTGTTAGATGAAAATAATAGGCATCGTATGTCTAAGTTTAGAATAACATGATTAGAATTTTTACTTGTTCCTTGTAATAGTGTTGTATTCAACGTCATTAAAGTTTATTGTTGAAATTCGTTAGGACACGGGTAGCAACTTTCCTATTTTAAATAGAACGCCCTGTATTTTATTGCATTTTCGAAATCTACATGAAAATCTACCTCGTTTGATACCAGTTTTAAAAGGATTTAAATTTTGATCGCCCTTTTACAGGGTGTTTTAATACTAATAGTCAATTTTAATAACTTCCAACCTTAGAAAGTTGATTTTTACAACATGTTTTATTTTTATTTTCGTCGCTAACTCTATGGACCTGGTGGCAGTTTATTGTGATGGTGCCTCTTCCTAACTTATTTCTTTCATATCTTTGATTAGGGAGATGAAAACGAATTTCGAAGCGAATCTATTTTGAAGTTCGTAGTTAAATCCAAGACTTTTAATAATGTCGAGTCCTCGGTTTCAAATGCATGTGCATAGGAAGGAAGGAAATTACCAACATAGGTCGGATGAAGTACTTTAATACGTCAATGAGATAAATGATGCGCGCATACCCATTGGTAATTGCGCCAGAATATCAAAAACGGTTTTATACTAAATTGGAAGTTATCCACGGAATGTATTTAGAGATCCTGGTGTTGCCATCTGGGAAATCGTGACCGCAGGTAATACCAAACGAAACGATGCCGACTTGGTACCATGTTCCACCACTTTTAACAACAACAGGAGCGCCCGCATCCCCGGCACAACTGTAATCCTTGAAATCCTTCAGGGTGTCAGTACAAAGATAACCCTCGTCAACAGTAATATTGTACTTGACAAACTTATCTTGGCAAACATCGTTAGCGATAACGCGGCGAACGATCACCTTCTTAATGTTCACTGGATCGCCTTCGGCATTCATACCCCATCCAGTCACAATCACTTTATCTTCTGGTTGTACTAATGATGCTGATTTTGATAGACAGATCGGTTGTACATAATCTGAAATCTCACGTTGAGCCTTTTCAAAGGGACGTGCAGTACCCACCTGAATATTTAACAGTATCGTTTAGCTTGATCAGCGCTATATCGTGGCCGAATTGTTTTTTTCCACCTTTAAACTGCTCATGCGGAATTACCCTTTCTATTCCGTAGAACTTACTATGGGCTTCGTCGTGTAAACGGTGTACACCAACTACCGCTCCAATCCTGAGAATCAGTTTTCGTTTCAGCTGATTTTTAAAACTGAGGTGCTTACATTATGTCATTTTTTTCACTAACGCATACCGACGACGTCAGTACATATCTGTCGTTAATTAAGGAACCCACACATATAAACGGGTTATCACCATCATATTTTAGTAAAACTGTCCATGGGAATTCACCTTCCTGAGCAACACGTCTTAGTTCCATGGCAGAATCAATTATTTGATGTCCACAATTAGGTGCTTCTGGCAGTACATCATTGGCATAGGCAAAAGCGCGCACTAAAAAATTCAAGGTGTAAAAACTCTTAAGGGTAAAAACTTACCAATGAAAAGCAGCAAACATGTCCGTTCTAGCATCTTGACGGTTTTGAACATTGTACTAAACTTGTGGTATCGAAACTGATTGTTAAGGTCATCCGCTTATCGTGTGCACAGATTTATTTACAACAGCATTCCAATTCTTCTTCAACCAGGTTCACAGTAAAGAATTTGCGAAGTTCTTCAAGGGCAAAGATTAACATTTTTTGCTTTTTGTGAATAAATACAGGTTTCGATTATATAAACACAAATAAACAAGTTCGTCTGTGTTTCACGAGTTGTTGTTAGGTGCGATAAAGCTTAATAACATGGATTGCTTGAACTAGATGGGCAATTTCACATTTAATTCATGCCCTACCAATCTCAACCGAAGTGACTGACAATAAACTAATGTTACTGCAGGTACCATTATGAACAATAAAACCAAAAACAGGTTATATTCATATTTCATTTATTAAACATGCAGCAGAAGATGTTTAATACTTTTGTGTGAGAAACTGTTCTTGAATCACATTATTAAAATTCAGGTGATAGTTCAAACCCTCGCGAACAACAAACAATGATGGATTGTAGAATTGCCAAGTCAGTGGCCACAGGAACACAAAAAGAATAAACACTGTAACATAACTCGAGAATAAACGCGTTCCTCAAAATAATGATGGGCGAAAAAAATACTCCACTCATTTCACTCAAAGAACCATGGTTATAAAATGACTTTCGGTGTAACATGACAGCAGTCCAAAATGCATTTCCCTTGAAATAAAATTGGGGGACCTTAAAACAGGGGTTGGGGTTTCAAAAGCAATCCAACTTCTCCAGATCAACGCATGGTTCAATATTTCTACGGGAACACAGTCCTGATGTGCATGTGGATTTATCGGCTGGATAAAAATGGAAATCGTTTGATGCAGATCTTAAGTTACCCGATTATGACTTCTTAAGCGAGGTTTTGTTTTTATAACCTCACACATTTTGACTTCAGTGTTTTCAATTTATATAATGTGGAATTTAGATTACATCTTTCCGGTATCACTTCCGGTTAAACCGGAAATCGATGCAACTTTTGTTTGTCAAATGCAATGCCTATGTTTTTTAAGAACTTTAAAAAGAGCAATCTATTTAGTGTACCGGGAGTTATACCGGACGTTTTAATAAGCCACTGCATAGATGGTAATGTCCTATATAAAATTATATTGGGCCAATTTTTCGTATCTCGACAAATAAAAGAGACCCTCTTAATCTTATCTCGAACTAAGTGTAATGAATTGTATAGGTTATCTTAAGTAGGTTAATTTATTAGAGTCAATTCAACTTTAGGGGGTAAGATTTTCGTGTCTATTGTAGGGTAGAATTTTCACTGTAACATTTATTTCCATGAATTTGCAGATGCAGATGCCGCCTAAGCTTAACCACAGACACACCAACAAAATTTAATAATTTGAATCAAGTACCGACATTACAAAGTTATTTATATAGCCGGGCATCACCCGGAAACATTTTTATAACAAAATATCTAGTGCTAACTCTTACATAAAATTAAACTACTAATAAAGTGTAGAAAAGAAGTGCAAAGATCGCTGACAATCTTAATAAAAGTAACGTATTAAAACGTCAACAATTAATTTTAACTATAAATGGACTTGAAACAAAATAGTGAATTTTTGTTCAAACCTAAAAACGTAGCAAATGTTTACGTTTATTAAAAATAATCCATACAGCCCATCGTTGCCTAGTTAAGCACGCAGACTATAAACTATCCATCCTATGTATTCCGAAACTTTGATATACACAGCAGGATTCCTCGCACCACACGCGCGTTTACTTATCAACACACCAATCTGTTCCCATTGAGTTCTCCTCGAAATCATTAGAGGAGCTCCTCCATCTCCTTGGCATGTTAACGCGTGCTTCCCCTTTGCGCATAACAAACTGTGTTCCATCGACTCCGGGAGAAATAACCCAAAGCAATCTTTCAGGCGTACCAAAGTAGTGTCGACCTTCTTCTTTACCTCGGTTTGATTCAGCCCTTCACCCACCTTTCCCCAACCGGTCGTGGACAATTGCGCATCTTCCTTCAATTCTACCACGGGCGACGTTGGTAAACAGATGGGCCGAATGTAATCTGTAACGTAAAGCTTAAAGTAGCCATGGTGCTTGGGCGGTAGTTTACCGGAATACATTACGTCGTTTTTAAGCCTCAACAGTGCAATGTCATTGGCGGCAGTTGCGGGGTTATACCCGGGATGCATATTTGTCTCTTCGATCTCAAAGTCTTGAACTGGATCGCTACATTCCGTGCCAATTCTATCTATGATGCAATCTTTGTCGCTGGTAACGTTGTAGTCACCAAGTCGTACACCTGTCCTGGTTCAAAGTCACTTTCAACAGCGCCACATTACGAAATACATACAAATTATTATTTAGACATTGTGCAGCGGTTAGTATATAACGACGGTTGATGAGGGAACCGCTGCATCGTATAGTCCTATTATCGCTGTACAGTAATTGGACTGACCATGGAAATTCGTCAATTGAAATCGAATCATCGGCGCGTGGATAGTCATCGGCGTGCTGGTATCCACAGTATGCTTTTGGGGCAAGTAAATTGTTGGGTGGTAGAGTTTGTGCTGCTAACAAATTAATCACGGTACTGTACTGAAAGAGTTTTGCATTCACCTGACAGTACGTTGACAAACATTAAAGCGAATATTCCAAAATACATGACCATTATGAAAAAGATTACTAAAATGCGACCTAAACAAAACTGTGACTTTGCGTGTGGCAAGGATAAATCAAGACAATTAATTAATACTCACTGCAATTACTTTAACCTTTAATTAACCAGATCGAATATACATGGCATTTGGTTAAGGATAACTGAAATATGTGCAGAAATTGTTGACCTTATTATTGTTATAATCAATTAGTCATTTTGTTTTGCGTCTCTCATCGTGTTATCTTGGGGTAAAAATAACAACTAATTAATAACTTCTAGATTAGATTTCAAAATTGTTTATATGGGTTGGGTAAATTGAAAATTCGTCAGAAGACTGTTTCGAAGATCTAAAATGACTGAGAGCTACTGAGCTGCCGCTGCTTGCATATTTTTTTAAATAAAATCAGTCATTCATAAATATGCACACTGAATGTGCATGATATATCTTTCGATATGCACAGATAAACAAACAAACAACTTTCCTGAATCATCAACATATTTTTAAAGACCATTACATTCACCAAACCAATGTAATGCTGAATATTTATTTGCAGTGGGCATTGCGCAACGCAATATTTCATTTTAACCAAAATTTATTGTTGCTGGCGAGACAGAAATCAAGAGGTGTATATGTAGTGAACTGGTTAATCTAATTAAAATGATCTTTTTGAAGTAAATCTTAAATCAATCGTTAATAATTTAGAACTAATAGTTGAAGCTTTAATGACGAAACTTGTTACAAATCTAATTTAGAAACAATAATCGGTGTCACTTGGATAAACAAACAAAAAAAGTTTGTGGAATCTTTGAAGGATCTAATTTAAAAAATGAGAATAGAATCTCATTATCAAAGTTCATTAATAATATTTGATAATATGAATATGACAACCTTGAAATTGCTGGTAGTTTAAATTCTAATAAATTAGAAATATAAAACTAGATACTTAATTATAATTTATATTTTGTTATTGTTTCAAGAGAAAAATTGTTAAATGGTCAAAGTACGAGTAAACTAATTTACCATGAATAATCTAAGAACCCTCTGCAGTGGTGCGACTGAGAGGGTGGTAAGTAAAATAACACTAAAACCCCATATAAGTGTATATTAAAAAAAGTATAAAATGTCAAATATTGTTTAAGAATGCATCTCCCTTTACATTGAAATGTCACTTACACGTGTTTATACCTGGATATCTGGATAATAAAATTTACGTTGAAATGACCATCTAATTTTTTACCTCTAAATACCTTAATTGTTTAAATTTGATTTCGACTAATAATACAAGTACACCTTAACCAGATTTGCCTTTGTTATGAAGATGACAAAATAGGTAATAAATAAACCATTGAATTTGGTTTCATTCAATATAAAAAATAAATTAATCCCTTTTTGATTATGAGAAAATGAAACTAAGAACTGAACCAAATTCACCAGGTTCTTTGACTATTCAAAATACAAAAAATTAAACTTATTTGAATCCTTACTTAAAATTTTACGTTCACATATTCTACAGAGTATATCCCATTTAGCCATGGATCTTATAATCTAATAAACTTGGCGAACTAAATAAATACGAATAACCTTCATTTACATTCTTTCGTTCACGAGCACGATGGAAACTTTTACTGCTAATTTCTACTCGTCAGTTTGGGGTTCATATCAGATGGTTTCTAAAAAACTGCATACTTAAACCCGCCGGTATCTAAATTTTCGTTTCTAGATTCAATGGATACTAGAGACTCTTCCAGTGTTGGTTTAATTGCTGGTAAATGGAATTTGGTCCAAAAGCAGTATTGCAATTTTTTATATCGGAAATTTTACGCCCAATCAAACAGAATAATAGAGGGACGAACTGTCCCCTCTTAATCACTTTGTGGTGAAACTTTTCACGTTCATAGAAAACGAACCTTCTATGGAAGTACTTTTTTACCAGATTAAATGCTAGATCGCGAATGACTCTCTAAATGCTCTGGACCGTATTCTGGTTCTGTCTAGCTCGCCCTTCAGGCTGCTAATAATACATTTCGCCCCTCTTTGAATGACTCAGTAATTTTTTAACGCCCAACGGGATGGTTATAGCGGCGGTCCATTGGCGCGTTATTTTCTTTCCACCGCAAAAAATTTTACTCAATAGAACCAATAAAATACATCTGTCATCTCAACTGTAAAAAATGACCCAGACTTGTGAGCATTTTATTGTACCAATTTTAAGAGACTTAAAAATCCAAACGATCCTCGATTTTGTTTTTGGGCTGTAACTTTTTCTCCAATATTTACTTGTAAAATAACTTAAGTGGTAAAGTTGCCTGAAATTTCTTGCAATACCTTTTTCAAAAGTATACTCAAACATAAATAGGAAGTTTAGAAATGATACTTTGATTAGTTCCAACAAGGATGACTTACGATTTAATACGACACGTGCAACAACTAAATTAAAATTTAATCACTGACTGACGACTTCACAAGAAGTTAAATTATTATTGGAATTACCAAAAGATTATATAAATATCCAAGGTCAATCTGATAACGAAAACGTCCATGACTTGCTGCTTGTGAGGAAAAAAAAGTAGTATCGGCATCTTTCAAATCGAAATTCAAGTTAGGTAATTGTCAGTACAGAGACAAAGGTGGTAGGAAAGCGTAATAGATTGCCCATACTAGTTGAAACTACCATTTGAATGTGTATAAGGAAAAAACAACGTCTGTAGCCAACTCTCGCAATTATTGTGCAACGGCACATAGGAATATCAATAAAAACAAGTACCTACTACAAATTATATTTCAAGATTCAAGCAGAATCACTTTCGTACGTGAGCTTTAATCCACCCAACGTAGTTTTTCACATTAAGGTATACCGAAGGAGTAGTCGCATCACAGCGTACCCCGAACAATAATAGACCTACCACCTCCCACTGACTTCTTACAGACATCATTAAAGGCCCTCCGCCATCCCCGTGACAACTATAGCTGACTGTTTCAATGGCGCATATGTTATTTCTATCAAGAACCTTATCAAATGTTCTATAAAACCTATTGCACTGCCGCAAACACACGGCAGTTGCTAAAATCTTCTTTTTCACTTCAGTAAGATTTCCTCCGTCGCTCAAAAGTCCCCAACCAGACAAAGCTAGTTCCTCACCGCCCCTAATAACTCTACTATTGGGTGTTGGTAGACATATCGGACGTATGTAGTCTGAAAATGCAATTATCCCCCGACCAAAGGCATATACTATAGATAGGATTACCTGAGTATTCCACATTCCGTGACAGTCGAATCAGACCAATATCGTTTTTTGAGGTGTCTTTGTCAAAATCCGCGTGCGGAACGGCTTCTTCAATATCAAACTCCTGAATCGGGTCGCTGCATTCTTCACCAAAATTGGTGTGATATACGCAATCTTTATCACTGGTTGCATTGAAATCGCCTAGTCGCACCGCCACCCTATTACTTTCATGTTAAATTCAATAGTAATTGCCTGAAAAAATATTTACGGGCTTGTGTAGGCCAAACACTGTGCGGCGGTGAGTACATAGCGGTTATTAATTAATGACCCTGTGCATTGGACGTGTCTATCTTTACCATACAGTAGTTGAGCTATCCAAGGAAATTCATCGATTGTCACATCAGGACTGTCTCTGTTGTAGTCATCGCTATGTTGATAACCGCAGAATGAACGTAATGCTAAGAGATCATTCGCACGAATAAAACCTAGAAAAGATCTCTTTGGTATCCCAATTGAGATTGAAGTAATAACACTACCAGCCAAACACAATAACGAACTGCCAAGGAACCAAATGCTGGTCGTTTTCATTTCCAGAGAATATAGTTTATATGAGTGTCTATACATAAAGGGAGGATTGAATTTTGATAGTGAATTAATTTTTGGTCAATGTCACTAAACACTAGCAGATTAGGGTGGTGTTAACCGGTGTATTTACTTGAAAGTAATGAGAAGCAAAAATTCGGATCAAACACTTCTATGAGTTCACTTATTTTTATTTTAAATGGAAAATTGACAACTTTAGTCGTCTTAAAAGTTGATAATTTTGTAATAACACAAGTTATCGCAATGAACTTTTACTGATTTGTAAGGAATTTCCTTATTTTGTGGATTTTTTGATACTGATACTGTATGTCTTCACTTCTGTAAATATTTTTCTATCTTAATGAGGGTCTAAATCAATATTCTTTAATTATGCTTAAAAGTTAAGGGTCATGTGTAGCACACGCACCGCATGTCATATAGGAACGGTTTGGTCCTTTGTTGTTGGTACTATTTGCAGTGAAGGAACGATTTGATTTGTTTAATAAATGATGTTTCTGTACAAGAATTTTAAAACAGCAATTTTTCATGAATTCTTTTAAGGAAATAGAAGTACAATATGAAGAAATGGAAAGACTACATAAAATATGCATTTTTACTATAAAGACGAAATTTGCGCGGTAAATACGCCTTCGAAAATTTACTTCTGGAATATTCACAATTGGCCTCCAAAATATTCACTCCCCGAGTATTTGCCCCCAGAAAATTTGCGTTCGGAGGATTCGGGCCCGGAATTTTCACCGCGCGGAAGATTTCGCGCTCTAAAAAGATTCGTCTTTTGTTTCCACGAAAAATCGCCCTCGGTATCAAAATTGAAATTCAAGATTAAGGTGGCAAAGGACTCAACTCGTAGTTAGAAAAATAGTAAATATCGAAATAGGTTTTCACAAGAAAAAAAAATGACCTATAATTGTTAAATGAGTATCAAGAAATATATTAATTACAATTTGACCGTATCGAAAGTCATTATGCACAAACGTTAGCGGAGTATCGATGAAAATAAAATCTTCGCTTAGAACTCTCGCCACAACCTTACTGAGATCAGAAGGGTGCTATTGCCACAACATCTGCGATCAGACAGAAACACAAAAACAAAAAGATAGTGGTATTGACAGCACGGCGTAGATAGTGTGCGAGACCAAAATTAACGTTTGGCACGTAGCGGGTAACTCGAATACTAAAAATCGTAATTAACATTCATAAAAAAAAAACAAAAATTCAAATGACGTTAAATAACAAAAGCAAAATTTTGATTTGAAAGAACTAATTCACAATTCATAAGTAACTAAATATCTCAGTACAGCAAAACTAAAATAATGTACAAAATGTTTTAGCCATTTCATAAAAATATCACTAGTCATCCATCCATTCTCATGACCGAATCCTTTGCTACCTGGTGAAGAACCATCTATCAGTTCATTTTTGAGAAAAATGAAAACTGGCGGTACAAATGTGCAACTGTGTTTATAGCAGAAGCCCTATGAATTATTGTAAAGCTTCAGACAATTCTGAATTTAATTTAGACCTCAAAAATAGCAAGCTTATGTACTGCCGTCGTGGTTGTTTGCATAGAAACAGCATTGTCATATGTTCTGAACGTCATTTTATATCGTGATCCGCTTCTCATTTGAAATAAGATTGATAGATGTTATTAGAACAACAATCATCTGTTTCACTTTATCTCCCTTGCGATTAAAGTGATCACTTTTTCTACCCTTACGGTTAAAAGCTTAGCCTACTCATTTAAACCTATTAAACTATAAAATAAATCAGATTTCATGTGCCTACTTGTTACGCATACTTACACGTAAATTTGTAATTCGTGATTGTCTCTTCTGTTTTTGTGGTAATGTGTTTTAAATTGTTTGGAGGGAAATTTTTCTCTGCTACTTCCTTAATTTTTTCTGGTGTGGGGACGCGCTGCATTCACATCTGGCAGCAAATTAAAACGTCCTGCACCCTCATTGGTCAAGACGGTCAATTCTGCAAACGTAATTCCTGATTCGATGGCGCTTGAAGACTCCGCTTGCAGAATCAGTTCGCCTTGCCAGCTCCATCTTGCGCCACACTCCACCAGATAGAAGACCCACATTCCAGCAACTTCAGCTCCACATTTCGGAGATCGCAAGCCACACCACCCGATTTTACACTACCGTCCGCCATCGGTACCGACATCCTCTTGCAAGTGGCAGACATCGTTAACACACCACCGGAAACAGACAAGCATTGGACGCTTAAAAAGCGACCCACCGATTCTTTCACGGGCAGCGAGGAACGACGTGTCAAGAAACTTCTCATGGATTTGGAATAGGGTGATCTGAAGCCTTCCCAACTCCTACTGTTCTCACAAACTAGCAGGCGCGCGTATGGGTGACAACATCCTTAAGTCCGTCTGGTTATTTCGACTACCCCTGCCGGGAGAAAAATTTGCCAGCAGCTCGCATCATTCGTGACTCAGTTTGCTACGACACCCAGATCCACCTTCAAAGATTTCCGGCCATCCCAAGCAAGAAAACATGGAAAGCCAAACATTTTCGTCCACCTGGAGCTGCATACCTGCTCACATGCTTTTGTGCGAAAAGAAGACCGAAAGGGACCTTCACCGAAATTACCAGCCACAACAAATACTTTGTCATAAACCTAAACGGCCGCAATCGATCGTCTGAAGCCAGCATTCACCGCAAATCGTGAAATCTAGCAGTCCACTTCACTCCAGCTGCCAGTTCCTGCCGAGGACAGTGCATCTTCGAACGATATCAACTCTTCGCATCAACGAACCAGGTCCAGAATACACGTAAATTTCCTCAAAAAGTTTGCCATATGCACCTCCGGCAGCAAAGTAAAACCTGCTGCACCCTCATTGGTCAAAACGACCAACCGATGAGAGCGCAAACGTTTAAAATGCAGAGCTGCGAAGCTACAAACGTAATTCCTGCTTAATTTATTAGGAGCTGGATACCTCACCCGCAGAATATCTTTTATAAGTTTGCCTTGTAGGGTAGGTGACCTCATGAGTTTTTCCAATACCGCTTACGCAGGCCCGTTCACACTACGTTAAATTTTAGATTTGAGAGAGTAATCAAACCGCCACCATAATAATAATAATGCCTTTATTTACCTACACCTTTTTTACACGAATAAAAAGTGTTTTTACCAACTACTCACTGCTCAAAGGGCGGAGTTCAGATTGTAATAAAAATTATTACTCACTGCTCTTCCACCCAACGCAAAATTCAAAGTTTAAATGATAATACCATATAAAAAAACTACTACAGATAATCTTAAGAAAAAATATAAAAAACACACACACATTTGAACTTCAGATAGCAATTGCAACATTACCTGGCTACTGTACTTGCTCTCTTGTAGATGTTGTAACTAAGCATCTTTGAAATAAAGCTGTTTGATGGAATGGCGGACGTATTAAACCCCTAAATGTCAAATTTAAATTATGAACATCGGTTCTATAGGTTTATTTTATCATAAAGGTACGCCGGTGTCTTATTAAGGATGATAGAATGGTAAAGCACAAGACTATGATGCTACCAGTTGCGCGAATGGCAAAAACGTATCTTTATACGTGACAATCCGCGCTCCAGCATAAATATCCCATTGAATGTCAGCTTCCGTACAGATCTCCAAGAAGATGAATATCCTGTCCGCAATTTACGGCAACCCGTGTTTCAGGCGGTTCAATCGGAAAATTGAAATTTGGATTGTAACACTATCTTCAACTGCTGCATTACTTTCTTTAGGGAAAGCACACTGAAGAAATTAAAAGGATGCGAAGCATATCGACAGTAAAACGATCCCTGATTACAAATTAAGAGACTGCAATGGGTTGTATTATTACGTGGATAATCATCTGATGCTATTTAATGCCTGTGGCGCTCGGACTCGTGTAGTCTATTGGTTAAAACGTTAAAGTATACCCAAGAAATTTGGTATAGATCGACTTATTTTAAATTTGAGTTAACATTTGGAAAGTTTTCAGATTTTTAGTTGTGCTTGAATCCATTCGACGTAGTTTGCCACATTTAAATAAACGGAGGGGGCATCCATGCCACAACCCACCCCATACAGTAGTATGCCTACCACTTCCCATTGGTTTCGTACGGATAACATTAAAGGCCCTCCACCATCCCCATGACAACTACGGCCGGTTTTCTCAATGGCGCATATATTATTTTCATTAGGAGTCCTACCAGACTTATTGTAAACTGCGTTACATTCTTCCAAACCCACAAAACTTGCTAGAATTTTCTTTTTCACTTCGGTAATGTTCTGTAAGCGGCCCAAAATTCCCCAACCAGATAGAGCGAGTTCTTTATCGCCTATATCTCTACTGCCAGGTATTGGCAGGCATATTGGTCGGATATAATCTAAAACTGGCAATTATTGCTCGCTAGCATTGTATTTAAACCAACCTGTATATTGTGCATTATGCGACAGCCGAATAACAGCAATATCGTCCTCTGAGGTGCTTTTATTAAATTTAGGATGTGGAATAATTTCGTCAATCTCAAATTCCTGAACGGGTTCGCTACATTCTTCTCCAAAGATGGTATGATGAACGCAATCCTCAACGCTGGTTCTGTTGAAATCGCCAAGACGCACCCCCACACTGTATCCCATCGTGTTAATAATTAATCAGAAAGTATAAAATACTCACAGGTTTTGATTGTTACTCACACACTGTGCGCTCGTTAGCACATAACGATTATTTATTAGTGACCCCGTGCAGCGTACTCTTCGCTTATCGTCATATAGTAGTTGAGCTACCCATGGGAATTCATTGATTGTCACGTTAGGACTATCTCTGCTATACTCGTCACTGTGTTGATATCCACAAAATCTTCGTGATGCCAATCGATCATTCGCGCATAATATGAAACCTAAAAGGAATAGTTTGTTGCTATCCAATTAACAAAACTACTACCTACCAGTAAAACACAACAGTAGGCTGCTAGGAATCCAAATGACGTTTTTTACCATTCTTGTTTCTGTAAGATCGTTGGAATAATATTAAAAACGCACACAGAAGTACCCTGAACACTTCTCATTTAACTCATTAGATTTTTATGGGTAGTCCTCGAATTACATTCGAAACTTCTTTGAAACCCAAACGTAGTTGTTGACCTCCAACATCCAATTAAACCCGTTCGTTCAATAAATCGCTAATTATTTAAATACGAGATACAGCAAAAGTCGGAAGGGTTCCTAGAAAGTGCGTTGTTTTATTGTGAAGATACTGACAAAAAAGTAGCGGATGTAAATTGTTTTTTATTAGTTTTGACTTTAAAAGTGACAGATTTTGCGCTACAAGCGTAAGTTTTCTATAATCCATTCCAGATAGCTTGTCACTTTAATGTAGCCGGATGGAAAACCATCTTCACATTTTCCAAACGATAGCACTCCAACCTGCTCCCATTGTTTCCTTACAGCAAGCATCAATGGGGCGCCACTATCACCTCTGCAAGTACGCTTTCCTTGATCCAAAGCGCACAAGTGGTCATCCGTTAAAAATCGGCGACCGAACTTAGTGTACGTCTCCTGACACGTCCTTGTTGGAACTAATGTGGCCTTAATTTTCTTTTTCACCTGAGTTTGCTTCTCTTCGTTACCCAAAAGACCCCAACCTGAAATTGCCAGTTGATCACCTACATTTAGCTGCGACGCATTTGTTGCAGGTAAACAAATTGCGCGAATGTACTCTGGAACAAAAAATAATAAATGTCGAATAACTGCGTTGGCCTTCTTACCCGAATATTCCACGGTTCTCGACAGCCGAATCAAGCCAATATCGTGCAGTTCTGATATAATAGGATTATACTTGGGATGGAGTATTTCTTCTTCAATTTCAAATGTCTGAACTGGATCGCTACATTCTTCACCGAATACTGTGTGATAAATGCAGTCTACGGTGCTGGTCGCGTTAAAATCTCCAAGCTGAACACCTACCCTACAACTCCACTAAGATCGCTTTACATTCGATTAAGTCACTTACACTTTGGCGTATTGCGAGCTTAAGCAATGGGCGGCAGTCAACACGTAACGGTTATTAATTAAAGATCCTGAACACTGCACTCTCATAGTACCTGTGTCGTATACTATTTGAGCCATCCATGGAAATTCGTCAATGGTGACATCGTCGCTATCTCTGGTGTAATCGTCGATATGTTGATAGCCGCAGTAGGCGCGCGATGGCAGCAAATCGCGCGATGTAACTGCGATTTCTGAATAAAAAGGTTTTCACTGTAACCCTGAAGTTACGGCAACCTACCTGCGACATTCAGTAACACTATTACTTGGAAAATCGCTCTTTTGTCCATCATATCCTTTCCTGAAATTAAAGGAGACTAAAATGTCGGAAATATATCCAACCATTCAAATTAGTATGGTCTTGTGAATGAGACCGAATATGATCAATTTTTGTGCAAATTCATTAGCATTTCCAAGGTGGAGATTGTGATTTACTATTACTATGGCGCGTTCGCACTTCCAGATACAGCATAGGACTAAATGCCTCATTGTTCCTCCCCGCAATGGTGCCAAACTGACTGAATTTAAGTATTATGCCGATGGTATTAAAACGCAACATAACCTCTTGTGCTGTAATTGTCACGTTTGGCAAGCATGTGCATGTCCATAAGCACCATACTGCCTCTGGAGGCGCAAACGCGCTATAGTGAATGGACAAAAGTTAGTAGACAGAATATTCGATTACTTTTCTTGCAATTTACGAAATGCGAATCGATGAAATGATCCAATCTTGCTTCTTTATGATATTTACAAGTAACCGTTGGAAAAATGTCTTCAGAACAAAGCACGAAACGTGAGTGGTTCGTATGGTAATCTTTGAAGAATTTGATGACAGATTAAAACACTCAGCTCGCATTCGGACTTCTAATCCAACTCATATTCAATAGCACTGATCCCTCAACTCGTAGAAACGATTGACGATCATCGCTGTCTCTGGTCGTTCTCGAGTTAGACGAGGAACAGATAGATAGACGGACGGAAGATCCTCAGTCTTCTCGCCATACTGCCCCAAACATGCTGGATGGGCGATATATCAGGAGATTTGGGTGGCCATGGAAAGAGATTGACCCTCCTGGAGGGTCATTATTCTCTTGGAAAAGTGGGTTTTCCAACAGCTGAAGCAATGGAATAATATGGGGTTCTATCACGTTATCCACATATCACTGGGCGTTCATGTGGCCTTGGATGAATAACAAACGAGACATACTCCCGTAAGTTAAAGCACTTATAACACCCTGTACCATAATTCCCACAGTTTGCTGTGCATGTCTCGCAAGTCGCAACAGAGACTGAGACAGAGATTCTAAGTTCCAGTGCAGATCTGACGACACCACTTGGAATTGAACCAAAACTGTAGAAGATAGGAAAAAAGTGAAAAATCACCACGTTCGGAAACTACGGGGCTCTAAAGTTGTTAATTACGCGACCCGGTAGATACACGTACACTCCTCGTCCTGCAAGCGTTCTTCTCCGAGCCCTCATTTGCTGGCAGCCAGCCGGTCAAAGTGAGATTAAAAGTTACCTTTTGACAAATAAATTTTTAAAAAATGCGCTAAAAAAAAGAAAGTCAGATAAACCACCACCAATTGATCCATATGAATGAAATTTTAAATTGCTACCTTTTAGTATTTTTTCGCCAAGTTTGATCCTTGTTCTTACCCGACTAGAAATTAACTACTTGGAGAAATTCTTTGCGAATACCTCTAAAATTCACAGGAATTACCTGTTTTTTTCCGACATGGAACGCGATGAAGTAGTCAATTCAACGATTTTTTTTGCAAAATTCATTTAAAAACACTTTCACTCATGATTGAAATGAAACTACAAAAGAATAATTTAGCTTACGTAAACTGAAGAGATGGCACCCAATAATTGTGGACGTTTAATAATGTCGACCTCTAAAAGTTGTTGCGTATAAGAGAGTAGGGATTCCCGTTGCTTGTATTATGGATCACTTACTTAGTTCTTACTGGAAAAAGTGTTATATTTTAACGCAATGTGACCCGTGTCATTTGATAATAATAAGCTGATAACTACGGTCAGTGCTTGAATGGCACTGTCGCGGTATAAGAAATCTTTATTTGTTGAATGTTATTGGTATTCGATTTTGACTAAAACTTTTTAGCAGTTCAATCGCCTTTTTTGCCTAATGTGTCAACACTGCAGGGAAAGATACGCCGTAGTACCCGATCCTGACTTTGAGGTTATATATCTCACGAACCGTAAGTGTGGCTGGGTAACCAGTGTGAGGCACAAATGAATACTAGCGAAGCGCTCAGGATTCTTGTGCTTTTTCGTTTCGTAGAAGATGGAGTGGATACGTTCTTACCTCTCTGAAAGAAAACAGTTCGGATACATAAAGGGTTTGGGTTTCATATCATTTCCTGTAGAAGTGTTATCTGGGGTTTCTCAGGGTTACCATTTAGGTCCTTTACTGCTCTCATTATTTATTAATCATCTTTCTCAATGTCACAGCTGCTACCTACTCTTTGTTGACGACGTTAAAATTTATCACATAGAATCTCTTGTGCACAGGCTAAATTATTATTATTTTTTATATAGGTGGGAAAATGCTCCTTATGCACACTCTAGAAGGAAGTTGCAGAGTAGTGTGGGGCTCTACCAAGTTAAATTATTGCTAGAGGATCTAAATTCAGTAATCGTTTGGAGTAAAAGGGACCCTATGAATTTAATTATTATTATTTTATTATTCCACAAATACATTGGTATTAACTATTACAAATTATGGGGCAATAACCAACCATAACTTATTTTTTGTATTTCGGATATTTATAAATCTAATTTTTTTATGACTGGTAAAAAGGAAAAATCAAATTTACATACCAAAAACACTTTAGATTTTAATTTAACTTGAAAACAATTAAGAGTATGGGTTTTAAATTCTAAGTAATAATTATTAATTTAACCAGATATGATTTTCACTCTAATTATTAGAATATATAAATATTTGTTTTTTTATCTTTCTCTTTTTTTGTCTGGTTACTACAGTAATTTACTTTTTAACCACTCCTTACAGTAGTTAGTAACTTTGTCTACTTGTAATTGTTTGTTTTTTGTATTATCATCAGTAGCGACCGATAAGTCTTACAGACTTGATTGGACTGTAATTTGTTGTTTTTCATAATAAACAAATCAATCAACCAATTATTATTATTGTTTTCCACTTTTTCCGCTTTCCTATGCTTCACTCTAATCCTATTAAACTCTTTATAATCCCTGTGCCAAATTACTGTTGTCTTTCTAGTTTTTCCTAGGCTCATTATTAAAACTTTTTGTATCAACATTCACAGCTTAAATAACTTTCTATTATTATAGTTTTCCAAGCACGTCAGTTGTACGACTTGATATTATTCTAACTATCATTACGAGAAGCATTTGATGGCTATATGCACAGAGTAACACAGGTAAAAAATTAAAACAAGTAATTTTTAATATTCATGGATAGTGGCTCCTTACTTGCTATGGTCTTACATTTTCTTTAATCCAATCTAAATAGCTTGTTATCTTCACAAAAACTGTTGGAAAATCTAAACCACACACAAAACCAAATGAAACTATACCAACTTGCTCCCATTGATTTTTTACAGATAACATGAGAGGACTTCCACTTTCGCCTCTACAAGAAGAACTTTCACGTACTTCGTACGCGCATAGATGATCATTGGTTGGACGTTTAAGTGAATTTTTGAACATCGTTATCTTCATACACTCGGAAATAGGTAGCAAACGCGCCGCAAGTTTCTTTTTCCGAACTACCGGAGGCACGTCGTCAATTTCTGCCCCCCAACCCGACGCTGCCAATTGAACACATTCGTTTAAATCGAGCTCCTTTGTGCTGGGTAGACAAATAGGACGAATGTACTCTAAAATTTACTTCTAAAAAGTTTAATAGTCAATTTTATTTTCACCTGAATATTCAACATTCCTGGAAAGACGAACCAACCCAATATCATTGTGACTAGTGCGTGGGTTGTAGTCCGGATGCACAATTATATTTTCCGCGCTATATTCTTGAACGGGATCACTACATTCTTCACCGAAGCTGGTGTGATTGAGGCAATCGACGTCGGTCATAACATTAAATTCGCCTAGACGAACGACTCTGAAATTAATGTATCTGTTTCGTCCTGAAGCCTGAGCATAAAACTTACAAGTTATTGTTCCAGGGATTAAGAACGCAATGTGCGACGGTCATTACGTAACGGTAATTGATCAATGTTCCTGCGCATTTTAATTCTTTAGTGGTACCATCCAGTAAAAGTGCAATCCATGGAAATTCATCTAAAGTCACATTGTCGTTATCCCTTGCGTAATCGTCAATGTGTTGAAATCCGCAGAAGCTGCGAGGTGCTAATAAATTGCTTTCGGAGAGCGTCGATCCTAAATACTTGGGACGTATATACGAAAGGCTCCCTTTGATCGGTGTACTTTACCTGCGGCACCTACTAGTACAATCAAAGGAAGTATTGCAGTTGCCATCCCTTGAACATTGGTCACAAAGCAGATTTAAAAAACAAAACAATTCGCGTTTGTACTTCCTACTATACGTAAATGTCTTTGATAATAGGCATCAGATTATCTGCTAAATCGCGTGTAGTATTTGATGGTAATTGGTATGTACGTAAGATTAAGAGGTATCACATTGAAGCTTTAGGTACCGGCTCGTTGCAAAAGCAGTGTTTTGTAGGTTTTTACATCAGCAGCACGATGTTAACTGGTTTACATCGGAATATCGTGCAATATATATCTACGAACACTGTCTGAATTACGCAAATGAATGGAAATACCAAGGAACTTACCAGGACGTTTGCATACTTGGAGATTCCAAAAATGGAACTACAGACTGAACTGTTTGCTAACAGAACAAAATTGCTTTTTTGAATTGTATTTCTAATTCTACAAGGTCACTCATTTACCGCAACACGCGATAACCTTCAATGCAATATCATCCGTTAATAAATATAAATGGAAGTTAGTTAGTTGTCATTGACCTAGGGAGACCATGGGATTTCGCCTTCTTTCAGGGTTAGACTATTTTTTCACAAGTGCTGTTGAATTAATTAGATTCAGATCTTCGCTTTGGATGGGATCTTCTAGACTGGCTTCATTTTACGGTTTTGTTAATATTTATGAAGGTAAGGGCATTTTTTTGTGGAAGTTATAGCAGAAATGATACCATGTTCATACAAAAATCTACATTTCGACACCCACACGACAGTTTTGACTTCAGACATGGGATAGCCTCTAGAGACTTGAAAATTGCCCAAAGTTCTCCCTCTTGGAACTCCAACCTAGTTTCTCAGAGTTCGGTAAAATCTGCTTCTCCAGATGTAGGTACTTGTTTCCCAAGCATTGCTTGCAGATGAACTCTCAGTACGTGGAACTTGAAAGCATCACTTGTAACGGCATCCTTTATCCTACCTTCTGTAAGATCACCAACACCTAAACCAAGAAGTACATTAAAACTGGTCTTCTTCGAGTGTCCAAATATGCAGAAAGTGGTGTCACTCCCCGTCAACGTGTGGAATTGGGGTAAGGCGTGCCCGGACTTGGATGAAAGGCCTCATCTGCTCAAGGCAGTTGGTGTTTTTGTTATCCCCACAATGCCGCCAGCGTTTAACAATTCCTGATCTTGGTCTGGATCTACTTGCTTGAACTTTACTGGGGATCTCTTAATAACGAAGTTCAAATTCAGCTTGAACTTCTGGAGACATCTTTGCGAGATATACACATCCTCATCGTGGGTAGTGAGTGTGGTCGTACTGCATGAAATAGAGAAGCATCCATCTAAAAGAATACAGATGTAACTTTCACAGCCCATCTCTTTGGGCTCTTGTAAATTGATACTGCCACCGAAATGCAAAGTTGAGATTTTCTTTGCATTTCGTACTGAAGAATTCTTTCATGAGCTGGTGGAATATGCTGGTCTTCAATAAAGACATGCGCCTTCTTCCTTCTCGTACATCATCAATGTTACAATTTAGTAATCCTCTCCGCCAAGTAATCGTCTCGTTTTTGTAAGGAGCAAAGAATTCGTGGTAAGAGCGGCACCATAGAGCTTGAAAGGTCAAAGAAATTAGGGTAAAATTAAAAACTCAAAACCTTTCCACCCTATTTTCTTCGATGTCCACCCCATTTTGAGTTCAAGAATACATGGATACCCTCAATTCAATTGAAAAGTCAACTTGTCAGCACGCATAGCCTTATTATACAGGGTGTTTCTACTCAAAGTGGACAACGCAATATGGGTTAAATAAAACTCGTTAAAACGAACACCTTTTTAAAGTAAATTATTTTCATTTTGGCATTTGTTTCCGAATTATGGTCCTTTTTTGTTATTTTAGAAATATCGAGCGTCGATTTTACAATTAGGGATTTGATAAGTGGAATAGTAGTCGTAAACCGTGATGGAGATGAGCATCGTCCTTTCTACATATTTTCAATTGAATGGAGAATTGTTGTCTTAATTAGTTTCGGAAACCTAAGCGACGCGATGTCTGGAATGGGGATCATATTCCGTCACCTTAATTTGGGCTATTTAGTTAATAATGCACATTCGTCATGATGCCACTTCGACAGCTTTAGATTTGCCAACTGAACATGAACATTTACATACGAGGGGAATGAGGATGAGATGATTTGTACTTTAGCAACCGAGGCGACTAGAGTATTAGTTCCTAAAAAATTGGTGCTTGGTTCGCGTTCAAACTTTCAACGGGACCAGAGTGATTCCCGGCAGTAAAAGGTTTATTCGGGTTTTTACTACTAGTATAATCACTAGTCAGTGTGTAGCCTGAAAATGAGAGCTAATTAATTCGCGTTTTGAAGACAGTCAACCGTACCGCGTGGTCTCTGAGAAAATTGGAGAAAAATACACATATTTGGACTTTCGTTTGCGAGCAGTATTTGAAATAAAAATCTCTCATGAGAGTTCTGGAGAGTGATTGTTCAAAGAAAACGAGCCGACTTTTCTAAATGAATTAATTAAAGGTATTTCTTTTGGAACCCACATTTAAACGAAAAAGGAATACAGTTAGAAACTGTAAAAATGTTACCGTTGTGAAATTGTGTCGCATAGAAAACAATTCGCGGTCAAGGACAAACTAATTACACGCGCCAGCATATTTTCATTGGCATATATGAATGAAAATTCCTTCTATTTGCTGTAGTATAAGAATGTAAAACATTCATAAACTCGTTAAGACCAACCGCTGTGTTATGTTTGACGTGTTCGTAAATGTTAAACGCCAAGATTGACGGTTAAAAAGAATTTCAGTCTCATAACAATTGCGTCATTTGAAGATTCACCGTAGACAAGGTTACCAAGCTGCAGTTCCCTTGGTTAAAATTCCTGCAGTGTTTTCGTAAGGAGAGCCGTTCCGAATTTGTTTCATGTCATTAACGTCAGTGGAATCAGGGCCGTCTTATATCAGGTATTGTTCGTCTATTTATGTAAAACATGAAGAGGTTGTATTACATTTGATTGAATTAAAACACTTCATAAGGTACATTTGCTATTTGTACTTTCTTAAACAGATCCAACCTATTGGCAATTGAAGCTGATTTGTATTGCATGTCTATAACATTATTTTTAAAAAACGGACTCAAATTAGATTTGATAGTAAAAAGTCAGAGTTCATTGTCCTTCGTTTTCAATACGGAAAACCTCCAATTTACTGGGTTCTCTATAATTATTTTTAGGTACTGTGCTGTATTTTGTTATTAAACTCAATATTCAGTTAGGAATAATTCATAAAGACCGTGGTCACAAAAAATCAATATACGAGTAATATACAGGGTGGTGACTTGCGTAACGCATCATAGGGATTTCAATGTAAAATTCATAACCTGCGATTATTGGCTCCCCAAATTTTTTTTGGAGCAAAAATGTATTAAGGTTTTCTGTAGAAAAAAATTTTTTTACGTCAATCAACCGTATTAGTTTTCAATTTTTTACATAATAAAGACGGAAAATTGGAAAAATAAAACCTCCATCTTTTTCAATAATCTGTGCTGCCATGGAATTTTATAATATGTTCGAATAACCATTAACTGCAAGACAGACAAGTCGATCATAAAATCCATTTCGAACTGCTGCTAATTGATAACTGGATATCTTTTTGTTTTAGAAAATTTCATGGCATCGCAGATTATTGAAAAAGATGCGGGTTTTATTTTTTCAATTTTCCGTCTTTATATGGAAAAAATTGAAAACTAATATCTACGGTTGAAAGACGTAAAAAAATTTTTTCTACAAAAAACTTTAATACATTTTTGCTCTAAAATAATTAGGGAGCCAATAATCGCATGTTATGAATTTTACATTGAAATCCCTATGATGCGTTACGCAAGTCACCGCCCTGTATATAGAAATTTTTCCTAAATAAAAAAAACCTGTAAAATGGAAATGGAAATTTGAATTTATTTATTTTTTCGTCATTGTATATAAAAAATATTTTTACACAATAACACACCTTACTTTCTATGGTCTTACATTTTCGTTAACCCAATCTATATACCTGGCTATTTTCACAAAAACTGTTGGAATATCCACACCACACTTAGAAGTAAATGAAACCATACCAACTTGTTCCCATTGATTTTTTACAGATATCATGAGAGGGCTTCCAACTTCACGGGCGCAAGGAGAAGTTTCACGTACTTCATAAGCACATAGATGATCATTGCTTGCAAGGAACATTCTCATCTTAAAGCACACGGGAATAGGTAACAACCGTGCCGCAAATTTCGTTTTCCTAACGACCGGTGGTACTTCATCAATTTCTGCCCCCCAACCGGACGCTGCCAATTGAACTCCTTCGTTTAAATCAAGCTCCTTTGATCTGGGTAGACAAATGGGCCGAATATACTCTAAAATTTACTTTTAAAAAATGTAATGGTGAATGTTATTTTCACCTGAATATTCAACATCCCTGGAAAGCCGAACCAACGCAATATCATTGTAAGTAGTACTGGGCATATATTCTGGGTGCAAAGTAACCTCTTCCGCGCTATATTCTTGAACGGGATCACTGCATTCTCTACCGAACATCGTGTGATCGATGCAATCGACGTCGGTCATAACATTAAATTCGCCTAGGCGAGCAACTCTAAAATAAACTTATCAGTTTGTTCCCGGAACCTGGGGCAGTAAGACTTACAGGTTTCTGCTCCAGAGACCAGCCACGCAATGTGCGACGGTCATTACGTAACGGCGATTGATCAATGTTCCCGCACATTTTAAGTCTTTAGTTGCACCATCCAGTAAAAGTGCAATCCATGGAAATTCATCTAAGGTGACATTGTCGTTATCCCTTGCGTAATCGTCAATGTGTTGAAATCCGCAATAGCTGCGAGGTGCTAATAAATTGGTTTCGGAGAGCGTCGATCCTAAATATTCGGGGCGTATACGAAGGGCTCCCTTTGATCGGTATACTTTACCTGTGACTCCTACTAGTACAATCAAAGGAAGTATTGCAATTGCCATCACTTGGACAATTGTCACAAAGCAGATTTAAGTACCTAAACAATTCGCGTTACTGTATACTAAGTAAATGTCTTCAATAATTTAGGTACCAGCTACCAGACTAACCGTTAAATTGCGTGTAGTATTTGTTGGTACTTGGTATTTACGCAAGATAGAGGTATGACATTTATGGTTTAGGTACGTAACTAAAATACCGACCCGTTGCAAACGCAGTGTTTGTAGGTTTCTATACTTACTATTGGTAGCGTAGTGTTAACTGGTTTAAATCGGAACATCTACGAACGCTGTCTGAATTACGAAAGGAAATGGAAAAACCAAGGCATTTATCAGGATGTTTGCAACTTTGGAGATATCAAAAATGGAAGTATAGTCCTGGGCTCTTTGCTAACAGAACATTTCCAAACTACTTTATCATTCCTAAGTCGCACAAATCTCGTTACTTTCGACTGTGTAGAAAAAGGCAAACACAGCAAATCGTAATAAAAAAACTTAAAAAGATTATATGTAATGCTGGTTAAGGTTATCACGTCCAATGAAAGATTATTATCACTATCGTAATCAAAACATTTACATAAGAAAATGTTTACTAACAAAAATTGTACCTGAAACAAATTCATGTACCTTTATAGGTCCTAGAATGTAGATTTTTATTTCTTATTTTACAAGGCAACTTATTTATCCGACACATATACCGTAACTCCCGATAACCTTCAGTACAATGTCATTCGTTAAGAAAAACAAACCGAAGTCAGTCAGTGGTCATTGACCTAGGGGGACCATAATCATTTCATCTTCCTTTAGAGTTGTATAGTACAGTAGGTACAGTCTATTGATACGTTTTAATTATTATTACTTATATTCAGAGCTTCGCTCGATCTTCTCTTTGGTATATCATTACCCACTGTAGACTTTATCGATTCTGCATTCAAAGACAATGGACTGATCCATAAAATACAGAATCCATCAATAAAGAAAAGAATGTGTAGAAAAATCCCTCCTTTTCAAAAATTAGCTTCAAAGCTTCACAATTTTAACATTATGAGCACAATGCTGAACTTTTTCATCCGAAAGGCGAAGCGTTAGCTCATGAAAGGAGGGAGCATTCTTATAACACAAATAATATACCATTTATTAATAATAAATGATAAACCAATATTAACAAGCATTTTCTATATGCGTGTATATTATATTTTGAAAATACCTCAATCCATTTTAAACAAAAACAGTAATAACATGTTTTTCCAAATTTTCGATGAGCTATCATCAAATTCACTTTTTTGTGAGGCGTATTGTCCCACCTTAATTAAAAATAGTGACGTCAGGATTATGAAAAACAACCCCGGAATCTCCCTAGACGAATTTCCATGGATTACACAATTGTTGTATGATGAAGATAAAAGTATACCTACGGTGTGGTGGGTGTTTGATTAATCATCGTTATGTGCTAATCGGTAATTAATTGACAGTTAATTTGTAGACTATATTCGTCCTATATGTCTTCCGGCGGCTACCAGCTTGCATTTGAAAGACCGAGTAGCACTGACAGCGTCCGGGTGGGGAATTTGAGGGAGCATCGGCAAAAATAAAAAAGAACATTGTGGCGCAATTACTTCCTCTGGACACCTGTCGTGCAGTATACGATAAAGCTGTTAAGGTGCTGTTTTTGGGGAGTTTGAGTTGGTGGAAAAACCGTAGAAGTAGAACCGTTTTATAATAGCGCCTGCTGTCCAGATTTCGAATCACATGCCTTCTTGTGCAAAGGGGATGGGATCTGAGAATTTCCTCTCAGATCACCTCTAAGATCTCTAAGACTCTGTAATTGGGCGCAAACCTGTTGAGGGCCCAGAACAAGAGAGGGATAATAAATAAATAAATAAATACCAGTCGAGGGTTCAAGCCCCATGTGCATACAGCCAAAAGCCCTTCTACATGCCCACAATCGGCGGTATACATAGCAATACTTGTATGCATTTTCTTTGGATTCGTATACACCTACAATTCTGCATGATCATATTCAATTCCTGCCACTTGATTTGTAGGGTGCATTGCCTCACCTTCACCTTTATTAGCTACAGTGACTTCACCATTATGAAAAACATTTTGAAGACGGGATTGTCACACTTTTTATCCTGAACGCAAATGACTCGACCACAAATGTAGGTACTACACGCAACATAATCGATTTTTCTTTTAACATTGTACATTTAATATTACATAATAAAATTAATAAACAAATTTGGTGCCGTACTATGAATTCCAGAATCTTCGAAATATAAACCATAATTTTCCCGATTATAGCATAAACCTACCAATACTAGTACTTTTAGTACACAATCCGTAAACAATTTTCAATGAACTGGTTTTGTGAAGGTTAACGTGTCTGGCAATTGACTCTGATTTTATTTAATTGTATACGCAGAAGTGAAAGAACTGCGTTTGCCGAAGAAGGTGCCACTACCAATGTATTGCGTTCAAAACCAACGGCAGTGACACAAATTTGTGACCGTAACCTCTGGATCGAATTAATCGCTTCAAGATCTTTATAGAACTCAAAGATGTGTCTCAAAGTGCTTTTCGTGTGCGTTATATTGAACATAATCGGTAAGGTTCTGACCTGAATTTTTACAACGTGCTTGACTCTTCTTCTTTAATTTAGTGCTGACACTATCCGAAACCGAGTTATTTCCATCACGAACATATTGTGGGCTCCAACATACTGACGATTATGTAAGAGACAACCCCGGAATCTCTCTAGACGAATTTCCATGGATTGCACAATTGCTGTATGACGAGGATAAGACTGTAAAATGTGTAGGATCTTTGATTAATCGTCGTTATGTGCTGACGGCCGCACACTGCTTGAAAGTGAGACGTACAAAAGTGTGAGTATAAGAAATGGTCATTTAGTGTATTGCCTAGCTATTAGAACAGGGATCCGATTAGGTGACTACGATGTAACTTCCGATAAAGATTGCGTTAACGAGACACGATTTGGTGAAGAATGCAGTGATCCTACTGAAGAATTTGATATTGAAGAAATCATCCCGCATCCAGGACATAGCCTTCGAACTGGCGTACACGATATAGGACTGATCCGCTTGTCTAAAAATGTGGATTATTCCGGTACAATGCAAATACTCCGTAAATATATATTGACAGTTTGTTTGTAGAATATATACGTCCGATATGCCTTCCGGCAGCTACCAGCTTGGATTTGCCAGACGGAGTAGCACTGGCCGTATCTGGCTGGGGACTCACGGAACATGGGGGAAAATCGGCAAAAATAAAAAAGAAAATTTCCGCGCATTTACTTCCTCTGGAGACCTGTCTTGCACTTGTCCAAGACTCTATAAAAATTGTCACCACAAACCATTTGTGCGTGTCAGAGGATAAGACCACTTTTACTTGCCAAGGTGATAGTGGAGGTCCTTTAATGCTATCCGTCAAAAATCAGTGGAGTGGAGTTGGAATAGTTTCATTCGGCAAATTTTGTGGAACTGATGATCCTGGCGTCTATACAAAAGTATCCAGTTATTTGGACTGGATTAAACAAAATGTTCGTAAATAATAATCTACAGTGAAATGATTGAAATAATGTTCACGTTTTAGTATATGGCATGCAGTGCAGTTTACGTTATGTGATTTTGTTTACGATTTTTCATACGATTATTCATTTCGTTTTGTTGGGAGGTTTTCGGTTTACATTATACGAACGAATTATACCAACAATCAGGAATAAGTAGGATCGGATCCGAAAACGTTATACATATTACGTAACGTAAAATCACATAATGTAAACTGCATTTTAGATTAATATGATGATGTTTATTTAAATTTTACATATGAAACCAGCATCAGTAAATGTCATACAATCGTAAAATTTACGAAAGCTGCCTGCTAAAAACTGTAATTAATGATGCAAATTACTAAACATGTCATTGATGGCCTGTTGGATTAAAAATATGTTATTTTTATACAGTACACATTGGAATTGTATGTAATATAGCAGAAGGCCTAACTTTGTGACCGATCAGCTGTAAACTCGATAGTAAATAATAGCATTTTCTTTTTCCATTCTTTTAAAGCACACTGTTACATGTACAACACTATAACGTTTTTCTAAAACCAGAGTCCATACAAAAAATTATTCCTAAAAAACAACGCGTTTGCAGAAAATTGGGGTTGTGTCCAGCGTATCTCCTAAGCTTGCGATTCATCAAGTCAAATATCTTCATGATTCTCTATACTGCTTGACTGGACTTGATATCAAGTAATTGCACGCTACCTGATTATAGGTATTTGGTATAGGTAAATAATATAAAACTAAGCTGTATAACAATCGTCAGTTTCGGGAGTTGTTACTTGTGTGGCGACCATGACAATATAGGTGGTTGTCTAGGTAAAAAATAATAAATAATTAATATTTGACATTCTGTTATATTTTCAAATCGCTAATAGTTCTTTTACTGTATTTTGTAATAAAACGCTACACTTGTATAGTACAGCAAATATAGATGTTTGATAAATTACGTTTCAAAGATCTACGTACAAGCAACCCTTCAATTGTATTCTAAAAATAAACCCAACCCTTATTTCTAATTATGTAATTCTTTAGAAAATTTCACTCGCATATACAGGAATCTTTGATCATGTATCTCGGTTGTAGCTTTTATTGTTATACTTATTTCTAGTTCTTTACTAGTTTATAATTGCCTTGCAAAAAAATCCCGGTAATTCCTGTAATTAGCTTGTATTGTAACTTTTGTGATACACCAAACACTATTATTTCTTTGGTAGATTTGGTTTAAGTAATCTATAATTGGTACTGTCGTACTGCAATTGCCCTTGATCCTCGCCTATAAAGTAAACAAATATAGGAAACGACCTCCTGGATATGGATATAGCCTGGCATTGCGTATTATATGGCTCATTTTGAATTTCATGCAATTCGGTTCATAACTAACGGAGAATTCAAAAGGGCCTTATTGATTTTTTGACCTACATTGCCAATTCCCATTTACAAATTTGGTAATGAATCTATTCATCGTAATCATTCGTTATTATATATTATTATTTCGAGATGCCGTGCTAACAGACAGACGGGCACAAATCGCAAAATTATGAACCCGTTAAGAGTATTTCAATAATCTATAACAACAGATGAATTGGATATTTTATCTGTGCTATGCAACTTTTCCCTAAACAAAATTTCCATGTCGTTTTAAACTTAGGTAATTTTCTTGAAAGTGAACACCTATACATGTGTAGCAATCCTCGATTTGGTGGGTTGTAACCTTCGTTGCGCCTTCGTTCTTTATCGCCGATGACTAATCTTTCATGGTGCCTCGAAGTCTATGGAAATTTCTGGAATGCTTGCTATGATATCATGATTATAGATCGTCTCACGTAAAAAAGGAATCGGGAGAAAGTAGTGTAACCTCCCACTAAGTTTATTGTTCATCTCAATGTCGCTGTGCTTTGAATAAAGATAGGTATAAAACTGCTAATTATTCGGGCCGTTGGAACCACCCTCTAGACTCCCAATGAATGAGCGAAGTGTTTATAACCGCATAGATGTTTATAATTTGAATGGCTTATACAGTTGACCATTCAAATTATAAACATCTATGCGGTTATAAACACTTCGCTCATTCATTGGAAGTCTAGAGGGTGGTTCCAACGGCCCGAATAATTACCAGTTTTATACCTATCTTTATTCAAAGCACAGCGACATTGAGATGAACAATAAACTTAGTGGGAGGTTACACTACTTTCTCCCGATTCCTTTTTTACGTGAGACGATCTATAGTTAAATAAGCTCAGGATGGTTTCGCTGGTTAGCAACGCGCAATAAACCTTTGTTTCTATTTGTTAGATTGAAGGTGTTTCTGCTTCTGCTTCACGAAGCGGGAAAAATAGTAGATCTTTATTTCATATAAGGTATAATTTATTTGAAATCGCAATTCCTTGCACATGAATCGGTAAGTATTTTGAGCGAATGAGGAATAACCTTTGACCATTTTGAGAGAGTGCCATTGACCTTCAACACGTCACCTGTTGTCTTGGTAGTGCAAAAGCAGTACCTAAATGGCCGAAGAGAATAATCAAAAACCTAATCAAAAGCGTGTCTTATGTGGAGTTGTTAAGATAAAGACTAAAAAAGGAAATCACTTGGAACAGTTCGTATGAAAAGAAAAGAACGCAATAAGAATTTTAATGACGCAGACATCAACTTTCCAAATCTACTCATAAACCTACTACCATTGAGTAAATTTATTCAATGCTACTGCTTCATTTACACAATTTTCATTAGCCGGTTTTGCGAAGGTTGTTACCAAAAGATTCTGTTTACACTCAATATTGAATTCATACGTGTAACAAGTGCCTGCTGCTGCGGAAGACGCGCAAGTTCCACATTTAGTACAACAGTGACAAATAATTGTAACCGTGACCTTTAACACCTGATACGCAAAAGTTCAAGTTTCTTCACCTCATAGTTACACAGAAACTAAACATGGCTCTGAAGCTGCTTTTAGCATTTGTGACATTCGATGTAATTGGTAAGGTTTTGCTCTGAATTCTTTCTATTTACTTGATGCTTCCTTCTTTATTTAGTACTGACATTATCCGAAACCGATTTATTTCCATCACGAACCTACTGCGGGTTCCAACATTCTGACGATTATGTAAGAGACAACCCCGGAATCTCCCTAGACGAATTTCCATGGATTGCACAATTGTTGTATGACGAAGATAAAAAAATAAGATGTATTGGATCTTTGATTAATCGTCGTTATGTGCTGACGGCTGCACACTGCTTGAAAGCGAGAAACACAGTAATGTGAGTATAAGAAATGATCATTTAGTGAATTGGCTTGCTATTAGAACAGGGATACGATTAGGTGACTATGATGTAACGTCCGATAAAGATTGTGTTACCCAAACACGCTTTGGTGTTGAATGTAGTGATCCTGCTGAAGAATTTGGTATTGAAGAACTCATTCCTCATCCAAGTCATACCGAGTTCACCTCTGAAAACGATATTGGACTGATCCGCGTGTCCAAAAACGTACAGTATTCCGGTACCATGCAAACTATAGGTAACAAGATGTTGATGACAGTTAATTTTTAGAGTATATACGTCCGATATGCCTTCCGGCGGCTAACAGCTTGGATGGAGTAACACTGGCCGTATCTGGCTGGGGACTCACGGAATATAGGGGAAAATCGGCAAAAATAAAAAAGAAGATTTCGGCGAAATTACTTCCTTTAGACACCTGTCGTACAGTTTACAATAAGGCTGGAAAACTTCTTACCACAAACCATTTGTGCGTGTCAGAGGATAAGAACACTTTTACTTGTCAAGGTGATAGTGGAGGTCCTTTAATGCTCTCCGTAAGGAATCAGTGGGAAGGTGTTGGAGTGGTTTCATTTGGGACAAGTTACTGTGGACCCGACTATCCTGTTGTCTATACAAAAGTATCCAGTTATCTAGATTGGATTAGACAGAATGTTCGTAAATAATAGTTTATAGTGAAATGCCATCTTTGTAGACAATTCAATTAGTAGCGATAACACTAGTGTCCATACTACTATAACAAAGATAAAAGTGAAGAAATTGACCAAAAGGGCGTTTCTGAACCAGACACTACATATTTTTTTAATTCATTCACTACCTTTTTTTTAATTTATTGTCCCTCTCTTGTTCGGGGACCTCAACAGACTTTCGCTAATTTCACGATTGTCATGGAAATGTCACTTAACGTTTGCGTATAAAAATCAGTCTTTGTGAATAAAACGATTTCCGTTGAAAAAGATAATGCGCCGTCCATTAAATCGCTTGTTGTAAAATCTAAACAAACGTTAGTAGGTGTAAAATCTAAATCCAGTAAAGCCTATTATAAAGAAATGAACAGTTGTTTCCATTAATGAATAGGAAGTTAGTTACGAATAAAGTATTAAATGCATCGATAATGCTGGCATATACCTATGAAAGAAATGTCAAAGGTATTTAAATCTTCTATCTTTTGGCATTGTAAACAATGCTTTTGGTCACAACCGTCTACCATTACAAGCCGTGCTGAGAATTATGGCAACACTGCATGGTAGGCCGATTTCCTAATTCAACTTGACAGATTTCAGGTGTATTTTATACGTGTTTTGGATGTAATATTCCTATTTACCTGTTTTAACAGAGCGAGATTGCGACAATTTGTGTTACTCCGTATGGGATGAACAGGAATTATTATTCAGGTAAGTTGCTAAACGAAATATATCGATTTGTTGTCATAACCTCTAAAGCAGGCTACTCCTTACTGGACCCTTTACAAGCACTTGTATTTGTTCAAAGTACCTGTACAAGCTCAAATATGACCTACACACTACGTGGTACGTAAGTACGGTACGTGTTTATCGTGAAAAAATACAATTAGTTTGTATTTCAGGTATTCTAGCAGGGACATGTCAAATCGATTTTCTGAAGGAACCTTTCAACTTATTCCCAAGAGTTCATGGTACGGGAATTTGAAGTCTACGGGGCTCCCCTCTATAAAAGCTACGTACCTAGACCCACTGGAGTAGTGACTGGCTTAAAGTCTGCCATTCCGAATCACACCTGGTCGTTGATAACACCTCGCTGATGCGTAGCGATTTACTGTCCTTTTACCGAAATTAAGTGCTCAAGCGTGTGCTTCACCTCGACCTGTTTCGACAGAAGTTCACCAATTTCGGAGATCTCGATGGAAAACACATTATGATGCAGTTACCAATTTACAGCGTTCCGAATTTTAAAGTCAAATAAAAATGTTATTATCCATTTTTGTGAATAAATAATATACAATGAAATTTTTTTAAATGCGAACACTAATTTGATCTATTCAATACATAAATGAGGAAAATAAGAAAATAAATACCGAAATCAATTACAATAAATGTTCGAAGTGTCCTCCTTGACATTCTAAGCAATAACCTAACCGATTTCGTAGTTAAATTGGACGGCGGTATTTTTAAAAATGTGACAGCTGTCAATTGTATCTACTACTCATTTGAACTACACAATAGATTGATGTGTTTTTTTTTAAATCGAACATAGGGAAATTACATTGCATGCAAACTCCTATGTTCGCATTTAAAAAAAATTCACTTTATATGCACAATTGTAAGCTGCCTAAGTACCTTTCTTCTATATTAAAACCGCCAAGGCGAAACACAGGAGAGAGGAAAAATGCCATTTTTCAAGAGCAACAAGACGCCATTAAAACTTATATCGGCCCACCGATTGACTTTCGAACAACGTTGCCAAACTTCTCAGCATGGCTTGTAATTATAGACGGCTGTGTTTTGGTGCATTCATTGAAAACTTCAAACAATGCTGCAATTAAAAAGCGGAACAGATTTGGAAGCATATCCTAAATTACGGGCGTTTGTGAAAGCTTCAACCAAAGGATAGGTACAAGCCAAAGAAATGTTCTGCATTTACAGAAAGCGACCTAAGAGGATTTTTTATTTTAACCCAAGATGACAGTTTCAAAAGTCATACTTGAAATATCATTACTAAGCAACTTTAAAGCACGTGTGTTTGAAAGGTATGTTGCGCACGCATTTGAGTGTTTAAAACGGAGATTGTGACTCGGGTATAATAGAAAAAATTTTTATTCTTGCAAACGACTTCATGGACTCATGAAATGAAGCAGGGTATAAGCTAAGAAAAGAGTAGTAGATCTTTATCTCATTCAATGTAACTAGGAAAAATTGTGCCATGGGTCTGCAAAAGTACCAAAAAACAAAGAAGATCGATTAGAATCTTTAATATTTATTCATGGAACCGCAGTTTACATATTTTAAGACAAACCAAATTTATCCGATATCGCAATTCCTTGGATGAATGCCTTGCTAAGCATTTTGATCAAATAAGGAATAACCAAAATCCTAATCAAACGTGTGTCGTATGTGGAGTTGGTAACAAAAAGAAAAAAAAAGGAAATGCTTGGAAAGCATGAAAAGAACCCAATAAGAATATTCATAACGCAACCATGGACTTCCCAAATGCATATGTTTCTTGAACATACTGCTAAAGTTAAACAATTTTCATCCAACCGGTTTTGCGAAGGTTGTAATATTGAATTCATAAGTGAGACAAGTGCCAATTATTTAGTTCAAGCACAGTTTCTATCTATCGCGTAGTAACATATTTATGTAGTATACTGTACCATTGATTATATAGTTCGTATATAATCAATGACTGTACTAACAAATAATGAAATTGTGATCTTAATCTTTAAACCTACACATGTCAATCGCTTCAAGTTTGTTTACCTCCATAGAAACTAAACATGTTTATGTACGACTGCTTGATAATGCGGTGATTACAGTCGCAATTAGTGGCCATAATTTGCAATATTATGGCCCAGTCCATAATGATAAAGTAAAATGGCCGCCTGTCAATGTGACAGTCGTCCTTAGGTGTCAATCCAAGGTAAATTCAAGTATTTTAGAAATACTTGACAAATGCTTGACATCTGTTTTCAATGATATATAGATTTTATCGTTTATTATTGAATTCTATGAAATTTTCATTTTTAAGGGTTGTTGCAGTCGTACATAAAGCTTTGTATATATCGCGTCCATAAATAGGCTCGTCAATAAAGACCCAGTTTATGTACTTGATATACAGGGATTTCAATGTAAAATTCATAACATGCGATTATTGGCTCCCCAAATTATAGCAAAAATGTATTAAGGTTTTTTGTAGAAAAAAATTTTTTACGCCAATCAACCGTATTAGTTTTCAATTTTTTTCATATAAAGACCGAAAATTGGAAAAATAAAACCCGCATCTTTGTCAATAATCTGCGATGCCATGGAATTTTCTAAAACAAAGCCAGTTATCAATTAGCAGCAGTTCGAAATGGATTTTATGATCGACTTGGTTACTGTCTTGCAGTTAATGGTGACTTATTCGAACATTTATTGTAAATTGTTATATTAGGAAACCGCTTTTAGTAATTTGGTCTTTCTTTATGTTATAGTTTTTGATAGAATTTGATTTGTTTTGTAGCAGACATTCCATGGCATGACGGATATTGGCATAGTTTTTGTATTATAAAATTTCATGGCATCACAGATTATTGAAAAAGATCGGGGTTTTATTTTTCCAATTTTCCGTCTTTATTATGCAAAAAATTGAAAACTATAACGGTTGATTGACGTAGAAAATTTGTTTCTACAAAAAACATTAATACATTTTTACTCTAAAATAATTTGGGGAGCAAATAATCGCATGTTATGAATTTTACATTGAAATCCCTATGATGCGTCACCACCTTGTATAAATAGCTATTCTTATCTTCAAACGTACTATAAGTGTACGAAGGTATTAGTATAGAAAAACACAGAAGTTTACATCTATTATTATACTGTACAAGAGTGCAAAAGCGAGGTCCCTCGAGCAAAATTGGCACACATTTATGTGATACCAACCAAATAAGGCAGAGGGTAAAGTTGAATGTCCCCTTCGCTTTTGGCCATTTTTCGTTCTGTATGAGAGTACAAAATTTGTAAATTTGTGTATTTCAGCGTGAATCTTCTTACCAAAATTACTCGCAGTTTATGAATGCACAATTGTGCATATCTTTCGGTAAAATAGTACGAAAGATATTTGTCACAAATCCTTTACTTTTGGTATTGCTTAGTGAAGTTGCTTTTTGTAAAAATTTTAATTGGTTGTAACCCTGATGGTTATAACAAGTAGCTCAAACTATAACACTTTTGCTAGACGGGGATTGTTAACTTCATGGGCATGGATTAAGGGTGTTTCTGCTCCTGCGTCACGACGCGGGAAAAATAGTAGACCTTAAGACTAAGAAAAAATGTGCCATGAGTTGCTCACAATTTGGTCATGAATAAGAATCAAAAATCAAAGGTATTCAATTAGAATTATTAATATTTAATCATCGCACTGCAGTTTTCATATTTATTGAATTCGTAATTCCTGACACATGAGTGCGTGCTAACAATTTTGATCGAATGAGGAACAACCAAAAATTTAATCAAAAGCGCGTCGTATGGGAAGTAAAGGGAATGCTTGGAACAGTTCGTATGAAAAGAACGCACTAAGAATTTTCCCGGCACAGCTATCGACTTCCCAAATATACTCCTGAAGCTACTGCGTAACTTAAAAATCTTCATTGAACCGGTTTTGCGAAGGTTGAAGGTTGCATGATAATGATTACATTCACATGTGTAACAAACAAGTGCCTGCTGCTATAGAGAAGACGTGCCAATTATTTTTCCCCCATTTAGTGCAAACATAGTTTCTGTCTATCGCGTGCTAACAGTGACAAATAATCAAATTGGAACCGTAACCTTGGTACAGAAATCAATCGCTTCAAGTTTCTTCACCTCATAATTGCACAGAAACTAAGCATGTCTCTGAAGTTGCTTTTCGCGTTCTTGACATTTGATGTAATTGGTAAGGTTTTGTTCTGAATTATTGCTATGCATTTGATGCTTCGTTTTTTATTTAGTACTGACAGTATCCGAAATCGATTTATTTCCATCACGAACCTACTGCGGGTTCCAACATTCTGACGATTATGTAAGGGACAACCCTGGAATTTCCCTAGACGAATTTCCATGGATTGCACAGTTGTTGTACGACGAGGATAAAATCATAAAATGTGTTGGATCTTTGATTAACCATCGTTATGTGCTGACAGCTGCACATTGCTTGAAGATGAATAATCTACAAATGTAAGTGTAAAAAATGGTCATTTAGCGAATTGGCTTGTTATTAGGACAGGAGTCCGATTGGGTGACTATGATGTAACGACAGATAAAGATTGCGTGAATGGCACACTATTTGGTGAAGAATGTAGTGATCCCGCTGTAGTATATGGTATTGAGGAACTGATCCCGCATCCAAGTTTTAGTAGGCGTACTGCTGAAAACGATATTGGACTAATCCGGCTGTCCAGAAATGTAGAATATTCTGGTACAGTGTATATTATACTCTCTTAGTTGTTGATAGGGAATTTTTAGAGTACATACGCCCGATATGTCTTCCGACAGTTAACTCCAAGTTGGAAGACGGAGTGCAACTGGCAGTATCGGGCTGGGGAATTACGGAATCTCGGGGCGAACCAACCAAGATAAAAAAGAAAATTTCAGCACATTTACTTCCCCTAGGCACGTGTCGTGCATATTTCACGAGCTCTAGACGATCTCTTACCACAGACCATTTGTGCGTGTCAGAAGGCATGAATATATTCACTTGTCAAGGTGATAGTGGAGGTCCCTTAATGCTACCTGTAAGAAATCAGTGGGAAGCGATTGGACTGGTTTCATTTGGGATTGGATGTGGAGACGATTTTCCTGTTGTATATACAAAAGTATCGAGCTATTTAGATTGGATTAAACAAAATGTTCATAAATAATATATATTTGTGGTAAAACGGTAAATTATTGTGTAGACATTTCAATAATTTTAGTTTAACATGAATATTTGTTAAACAGTTAATTGCCAGTTTCATTCACTGTTGTATAAAAACTGATAATGATGTTGAACATATTTTCGCTAATTGGTTGCTATTGCTCTCTGTTGATAATATAAAAGTTATCCAACCCAGCAACGAATTAATTTTCAGTGACAACACAATTTATATCAATTAATTCACTTTTCAGTTTTAAATTGCATTTTAAGGATTCTATTCCTTATCAATGAAAACATTTCCAAATACTCAATTGAGGGCTGGAGTTTCTATCAGGATCGTTTAGTTAAAATTGCAAGTGGGCCAATGTTTTAATTTTTATAAATATGTTCACATCCATAATCATCAATAACTCAAACTATCTACCCTGGTGTATGTTTCCTTCTCAATTACCAACATCCGCATAAAAAACGCTACCTATAGGTACTGCAAATAATAAAATCGGCAAAATTAAAAAAGAAAATTTCCGCACATTTACTACCTATGGACAGGTGTCGTGCACTTGTCGTGGGTTATGGAAAAATTATCACAGAAAATCATTTGTGCGTTTCAGAGGAAAAGGACGCTTTTACTTGCCTAGGTGATGGTGGAGGTCCTTTAATGCTATCCGTAAGGAATCAGTGGGAAGGTGTTGGAGTGGTTTCATATGGGGCAAGTTACTGTGGACCCGACTATCCTGTTGTCTATACAAAAGTATCCAGTTATCTAGATTGGATTAGACAGAATGTTCATTAATAATAGCATACACGTACCTACAGTAAAATAATTAACATAAAGTTCACATTTTGCTATACGTATATGATTATGCATTAGATTAATATCGTGTTTATTTTGATTGATGCGGGCATAGGCAACTCGTTTCATGCCCAGAACTTCATCATTATGTATAGTGCTTCGCATACGAGGACAATTTATTGAATCCATAGTAATGCAACATCATAAAATTCTGTATATTACTTTCTGTATCCTACTTATATTACATAAAAAATGAATAAACAAAACTGTTGGCATTTTTTGGTGCCGTACTAAAAATTAAAGAATCTTCAAAACCTAAGCCATACCATTTCCCAAATTTAGCATAAACAACTACAATTCGTAAATAATTTTCAATGAACCGGTTTGGTGAAGGTTGGCAAAACATTCTGATTGTATACTCAGAAGTGAAACAACTGCCTTTGCGGCAGAAGGTGCCACATTTTACTGCAATCTGTGGATTTTATGTATCGCGTTCAAAACAAACGCAGTAGTGACGATCAGAAAGTTGTGACACTATAACCTCTGGACCTGGTAAAGGAATTAATCGCTAAGTTTCTTATCCTCATAGCTATACTTTACATCAAAGATGTTTCTTACGGCTCTTTTCTTATATGTTATATTGAACATAATTGGTAAGGTTTTGACCTGAATTTTTACAACGTACTTGATTCTTCTTCTTTAATTTAGTGCCGACACTGTCCGAAACCGATTTATTAGCATCACGAACGTATTGTGGGCTTCAACATAGTGACGATTATGTAAAAGACAACCCCGGAATCTCCCTAGACGAATTTCCATGGATTACACAATTGTTGTATGACGAGGATAAGAGCGTAAAGTGTGTTGGATCTTTGATTAATCGTCGTTATGTGTTAACGGCTGCCCAATGCATGAACCCGAGAGATGGAGAAATGTGAGTATAAGAAATGGGCGTTTAGTGTACCTATTCGCTGGCTGTTAGAACAGGTATCCGATTAGGTGACTACGATATAACGTCCGATAAAGATTGCGTTAACGAAACACGATTTGGTGAAGAATGCAGTGATCCTGCCGAAGAATTTGGTATTGAAGAACTCATCCCGCATCCAGGATATAGGGCTCGTACGGCTGTAAACGACATAGGACTGATCCGCTTGTCTAAAAATGTGGATTATTCCGGTACAATGCAAACAATCGGTAATTAGATATTGACAGTTAATTTTTAGAGTATATACGTCCGATATGCCTTCCGGCGGCTACGAGTTTGTATTTGAAAGACGGAGTAGCGCTGGCGGTATCCGGCTGGGGATTCACACAATTTGGGGGAGAATCGGCAAAAATAAAAAAGAAAGTTTCGGCGCAGTTACTTCCTTTAGACACTTGTCGTGGAGTTTACAATAATACTAGACAACTTATTACCACAAACCATTTGTGCGTGTCGGAGGATAAGACCACTTTTACTTGCCAAGGTGATGCTGGAGGTCCTTTAATGCTATCCGTCAAAAATCAGTGGGAAGGTGTTGGAGTGGTTTCATTTGGGACATATTGTGGAGCCGAGTATCCTGCTGTCTATACAAAAGTATCCAGCTATCTAGATTGGATTAGACAGAATGTTCGTAAATAATAGTTTAAGGTTAAATGGCGTCTTTGTATCATAACAGTCGCGTAAACTGCTTATAAAGTTAATAGTAGGTAAAGAAAGTGTCAAAAACGCGCGGCAATTTATTCTTGATGTGATAGTTACACCAACCATTTTGATATATCGCAATTTCAACAAAATTGGCCTACCTACCCTCTTTTAATAATGATTTGTTTGCAATACCATGGTATCATATGTTTTTCAAATTTAGACCATAAAATCGATTTTGTCAATAGTAATATGCTTTCTTTATTTGCTAAGCATGCACCTATGTCCCCACATAAGGGTAAGCTTGGTGATCCCAAACCTTGGATTACGGAAAAAGGTTAAACGTATGATATCACTACGTAACTCTGATTTTAAACGCTTCAAACGAATCAACTCCAATTATTGAGCAAGAAGAATAATTATATTCCTCCAAATTTTGCAGATGCAGATGAAATTAATATGTATTTTTCTTCCGCGCAACGCAGTTGCATACCTGATTTGGAACTCTTGGATTACTACAGCAGTAATAAATTTAACCCAAATAGTTTTTTTTTTACTTTTTCCGAAGTTTTGGAGGAAGATTTGTAATCTAATGCTACTGGCGAGAACGGCATCGGTATAATTATTATGTTAAAACATTGTGGCCCTTTTCTAACTCCATAATATAACTCATATTATAAACTACTGCATAAAATCTCATTCCATACCTCTGTATGGAAGTGGTCTCTTGTCAAAACTCCTGCCTTAGGTTTATATTTGGCGTCAGAAGAAGGGGAGGAATTTCCCATTACATTAGAAAGGTAGGTTGGTTAAAAATGGAACATCGAAGGAAGCTGCATTGCTACTGCACTTTTTATAAAATAATTGTCAATAAATGCCCACAATTTCTCGTTAACAAAATTCGGTTCAGAACTGACACTCATAATATTACTCGTAATATACGAAGGATTTACTTATTAGAATCCCTAAGCATAATCTTCAATTATATAAAAGGTCCTTCTCATATTTAATAGCTTTTTATCTAAACAAACTAAAAATTAACTTTTCCTCTATGTTGCTAGCACAGTTCAAAACCTTCATTAAAAATAAGCTTTATTCTGGTGAAGTATAAAACCTATAATTAATGTACATTTGTACCATCTTACTCAATTTGAATCATTGACTGATTTCTCTCCTTTTCAAAATTTAATGGATGTAGGTAGATTTCCACGACTGAAGTATACCTCTCTATGGCGTATTGGGGCTGAGTGGTAGACCAGACGGTTAATATTTTTGACCAATCTGAATCTTAACCCCTTGGGGGAAACTGGAAGGACTAAGAAATTGTAATGATCATGCTCAGGTTCCTGATGATTTATTCCATGTTAAACCCAATAAACGATTTATTATTATTATTATATTATTTTTCCCTAAATTGTCTCTTTAATATAAAATTTTAATGTTCATATAAATTTTTTTAAATTAATATCAATGTATCAGTGACGATCACAGGAGTCTGGTAAAATGAAAAAGTAGTCAGGTAAAGTGTTACTACCACTATCATGACATCTAAAATTTCCTGACAAAATAAAGTAGGCATAAAAATGAAGATTTCGTGACGATTCGGGAAAAACAAATTAACGTCGATTACAAATCGTGTAACGAGACGGTTGAGAACCCGTCCTTTCAAGGACACATTTGAAATACTATCTTTTGGAGAAAAGTTTCTTATAGTCAGTTATCGACACCACATCGGTGAAATTTACTGTCGTCTTTCTTGTAAGTACTTTTTATCAAATAAAACAGAAACTAAAATTAAGATTAGCTCTTTGTCCGTGCGAAGTTAATGAACTTTGATGTCCTGGTTTACATTGGTAAGTTGTTTTTGTAACGAACAATTCCTGAACAATAACACATTACTTACTAAATACAAATACAGTAACTGTGTGCGCTCAAGAACTTAATTTTTGAAAATGCAGGAGCACATTTTTTCGTTGGGGAATTTTAAACACGTCGCGCTTTGGAAATAACGTCAATCGGTCTGTTTTACAACGAATGAAATCGTTGCTTACATTACCCATTTGTTTATTTGGTTTAATTATGAGTAAACCATCTTCATTTTTTGAAAGTTTGCACGAAACTAATCTAATGCGAAGAATTAACCGAATAATTAGCATCGTCTTGCTATTTTCGGTTTTTAGATTTGTCACAGGTCATTTGCTAATATTCGATGTGGTCATATTTTAATGTATTTTTAATTCAATAATATTATCATTACGAGCTGCGTAAATTCCTTTTATTGAAATTAGATAATTACTGGTTAATTAGTACTGCGTGGATTAGTACACAACCCCTGGTCATGATTATCGTGAGACTGTTCGCTTTTCTCATTGATACAAATTTATTTGTGCTTCTCAATTAGGTAATTTCTGTGTACCAACTCGATGACTGTACTTTTTTCGGGTCATTTATTGCCATTTTTCAGAAAGAATTATCATTGCAATCATGACGTCAAAGCTTGTCTTTCTATATACTCTCCTGGGACTTGCTGGTAATATTTTTCCCGTAGTTACTCATTTGTAGCGTAATACTTTTAGCACACGCACTGCCGGAAAACAATTTGTTGGAAACACGACGATACTGCGGCTTCCAACATTCCGACGACTACACAAGGAATGATGACAGTACTAGTTTAGACGAATTTCCTTGGATTGGTCAGTTACTGTATAACAAAGACAACACCTTGAAATGTGTCGGTTCTTTAATTAATCGTCGCTATGTATTAACCTCTGCACACTGCTTGCTGCCACCAACGCTACAATTTAACATGTAAGGTACAATTAAGTGCAACAGTGAGCTTATTTGCAACTTCAGTACAGGTGTTAGATTCGGTGATTACGATGTAACTACCAACCAAGACTGCGTTAACTACACAAATTTTGGTGAAGAATGCAGTGATCCGACTCAACAATTTGGCATTGAAGAGTTAATTCCCCATCCAGAATATAACTCCAGGACCTTTCAGAAAGATATTGGACTAATTCGCCTTTCCAGAGCTGTTACGTATACAGGTACGAAAAAAGTCATTTCTTCAAATTCACTTCCTGCACGTAATTTTCAGACTATATACGCCCGATATGCTTGCCAAAATCGAAAGGCTCGGAACCGCAGAGCGGAACACAGTTCGTGTCATCCGGTTGGGGAGATGAACGTCATTCAATAAAACACACCACAATCAAAAAGAGAATTTTGACAAAGCTAATTTCATTGGAAGAATGTCATAGATCACTAGGCAATTCTGCAAGTTTTATTACTCATGACCACTTATGCGTGATTGACGAACGGGGAAGCTTTACAGGCGCCACTGACAGTGGTGCTCCGTTAATGCGATCCGTAAAAAATCAATGGGAGCAAGTCGGTGTACATTCGTTTCGTAAACTTGGTGGATCCGACTCTCCAGTTATCTATGGAAAAGTAACTAGTTATTTAGATTGGATTACAGAAAATGTGCGTGCTTAAGATAAACATCAACTCATACCATGAATTAATTTGCATTACTCCGTCACCTACCATAATTCCATTTCAAGAATCGTTCCCATCTACAGGGTGTTTTTTTGGGAGCTTTAGTTAAAAGTTTCTGGGAAAGTAAAATAGGTAGGTTTTTGAAAATTTGTACTTAGGAGTTACTCTGAAGGCCGAATCGCTGTAAAATATTTTCAAAATGGCCGCACTTCCGGAAACACCGGAAGTAGATAGTAACTTCGTTATTTTAAATGGCAACCCCTATTTTTTATTGCATTTTTCGATTCTATGTGAAATTTCAGTTCTTTTGATACCCATATGTCGATATCTGCCATTTATGGTTTTTAAGTTATTTTGACTTTAAGAAAAAAATGGCGGATGCAGATGGTACCTTGATAATTGATTACTTGAAAACGGTTGTAGTCATGGCAACCTATTTTTATCAGTGCATAGAGAATGAATAGGGCTTTCTTTTAGTGCACTTAAAAAAAAGTTAAGTTGCGTACGACCGCCCCTATGAATATCCAAATTTATGAAACTTCAAAGACTAAAAACTCATTTTTTTTAATGGAATGACCATGTTCTTACTATTCCATGAGATAGAGAATCGAAATTGGCATATTTTGACTATACATGTTCCTATAGCTATCTTTAACAGTTTCTGACTTATTCCCATTTTATTGAATTGACACTATTTTTTTTCGGATTTTCTTTTTAGTAGTCGGCCATGATTCTATAACAATTGAATTTTAAACAAATCTAGTGACACTAATCCATCACCCACTGTTATTATAGGTTAACATAAGTTTTTCAAAAATCGAAAAATGACTCGCAGTGGTTTCACCTATTTTGGAATTTAATTGTTATTTATGGTGAAATGGGCAGAATCGCGGCGCGTGCTTTCCGTACATTCACTCAAAAACTGGAACGAAATTGTATGAATTTTGGAAATTTTGTACCCCTAATGCACTACAAACGGTTGAAGCACAAGTGATACAAAGCTCTACAAGAGAATATTTAAGAAAATGAATTGAATTGCAAATGCAAGATTAACAAAATAAATTCAATGCAAAATATAAAAAACTTCGTTGAAACATTTTTGGTATGGAATTGTTGCTAGAACAGATATCGCATTACCTCTCTTAATTTCCAGACTTGTTTAAGAAATTCAGTTGAACGACTCTGTTTAGATTTTTCAAAAATTTTCCGTCCTATATCCTTAATAAATGAGTTATTTATTAATTAATTATTTAGACTAGAACTAGAATCAATGGTATTAAAGAATCCATTCCTTGATTTGTTTAAAATTCGATTGTTATAAAATCATGGCCAACTACTAAAAAGAAAATGCGAAAAAAATGGCATCAATTCCGAGATCAATTCAATGGAATGGGAATAAATCAGAAACTGTTAAAGATAGCTATAGGAACATGTATAGTCAAAATATGCCAATTTCGATTCTCTATCTCATGCAATATTAAGAACATGGTCATTCCATTTAAAAAAACTGAGTTTATAGACTTTGAAGTTTCTTAAATTTGGATCTCCATAGGTGCGGTTGTATGCAACTTAACTTTGTTTTAAGTGCACTAAAAGAAAGCCCTATTCATTCTCTATTCACTGATAAAAATAGGTTGCCATGACTACAACCGTTTTCAAGTAATCAATTATCAAGGTACCATCTGCATCCGCCATTTTTTTTCTTAAAGTCACAATAACTTAAAAACCATAAATGGCAGATATCGACATATGGGTATCAAAAGAACTGAAATTTCACATAGAATCCAAAAATGCAATAAAAAATAGGGGTTGCCATTTAAAATAACGTAGTTACTATCTACTTCCGGTGTTTCCGGAAGTGCGGCCATTTTGAAAATATTTTACATCGATTCGGCCTTCAGAGTAACTCCTAAGTACAAATTTTCAAAAACCTACCTATTTTACTTTCCCAGAAACTTTTAACTAAAGCTCCCAAAAAAACACCCTGTATAGTTACTAGACACTTGCCTTAATATATTGATCCTGAGTGTTGTTGCAGTAAAATAACTGAAAATTCCAGGTTCTGGTTAGTTTCATTTTAGTGATTGCTTGCGCTTGTTATTTGGGGAGTTCTACCAAATATCTTAATTTTAAAAACGTGCTTCTGTAATAAATCATCTTATTTAAAAGCTTTGATTGGTCCATATTCAAATATTGAAAGAATAGTTTATATACATAAAATTAACTTTCTACATTAATACTATTACTCCTATTGGTTTAATTAATCCCTATATTGAGAGGTTCCACCCTGTATATACAACCTACGACGATGCACACATTTTTAAGATCTAGCAATCTTGCTATTTTTTTCTTAGAAGAAGAAAATGTTATTCTTTAATGTGGGAAAAAATTTAGTGGGGATAAATCTGACGAACTGGGAGGGTTGTTGTAGGTACTGAAGAGTGACGTTTGCTGTATGGGCTGCTGTACCATTTTACTGGAAATATCCATGTTTCAGTTCGTCATCATGAAGTTGATTCAGGAACGTATCCAGTATTCCAGTACGGTACCTTTCTGCAGTAACGTAAGCAACGTTATATGTTGGGGTAGGGAACTTGCTTACATGTAATAGCTATTTACATAAGAGTTAGGAAAATGGCCCATCACTCGCGAGGAAATATTAAGGTGATTACAGTCGCAATTAGTGGCCATAATTTGCAATATTATGGCCTAGTCCATAATGATAAAGTAAAACGGCCACCTGTCAATGTGACAGTCGTACTTAGGTGTCAATCCAAGGTAAATTCAAGTATTTTAGAAATACTTGACAAACGCTTGACATCTGTTGTCAATGATATATAGATTTTATCGTTTATTGAATTCCATGAAATTTTCATTTTTGAGGGTTGTTGCAGTCGTACATAAAGCTTTGTATATGTATATCGCATCCATACATAGGCTTTATGGGGACTCGCCTTGTTTATTTGTACCTCGCTCGCAAGCTCGCTCGGCTGAATAAACGGGCCGTCCATAAAGACCCAGTTTATGTACTTGATATACAGGGTGGTGACTTGCGTAACGCATCATAGGGATTTCAATGTAAAATTCATAACATGCGATTATTGGCTCCCCAAATTATTTTAGAGCAAAATGTATTAAGGTTTTTTGTAGAAAAAAATTTTTTACGTCAATCAACAGTGTTAGTTTTCAATTTTGTGCATATAAAGACGGAAAATTGGAAAAATAAAACCCGCATCTTTTTCAATAATCTGGGATGCCATGGAATTTTCTAAAACAAAAAGATATCCCGCTATCAATTAGCAGCAGTTCGAAATTGCTTTTCTGATCGACTTGGGTTACTGTACTGCAGTTAATGGTGACTTATTCGAACATTTATTGTAAATTGTTATATGAGGAACCGTTTTTAGTAATTTGGTCTTTCTTTATGTCGAATTCGCTGTTCTAAATATATGTAATACTTTTTGATAGAATTTGATTTGCTTTATAGCAGACATTCCATGGCATGACGGATATTGGCGTAGTTTTTGTATTATAAAATTCCATGGCATCACAGATTATTGAAAGATGGGGGTTTTATTTTTCCAATTGTCCGTCTTTATTATGCAATAAATTAAAAACTAATACAGTTGATTGAGGTAAAAAATTTTCTCCTACAAAAAATCTTAATACATTTTTGCTCTAAAATAATTTGGGGAGCCAATAATCGCATGTTATGAATTTTACATTGAAATCCCTATGATGCGTTACGCAAGTCACCACCCTGTATAAATAGCTATTATATTTCACTAGAGCCAACCAGCAATACCACGTTTAATTGGTTTTTAATTTTGTTTCTTTTTCACACCTGAACTTAAAATATCCTCTTCCATTTAAGTTAAAAATGGTCGAAAACCCTCTCATTTGCAAAATTCTCAGCAGGACCTCCGGGCTAAGAAATCAACTAAAATATTGCCAGATTCTGAATACAATTTTATTGCTGTTCGTGTACAATACAAAAAGTTCCTGCAAAAGTGCTTAGAAGATTGTAAAACTGTTTCATTTTTTTTTATTCAGACCTGAATTTTGTTTAATCCAATCTAAATACTTTGCAACGTTTGTGTAAACAGTGGGATACTCCGACCCACACCACAGGCCAAACGAAAGCACCCCAATCTGTTCCCATCGGTTATCTCTCCGGTACATCAGAGGAGCGCCACTATCTCCAAGGCACGCGTGAGTATCACCCTCCGTTGCGCATAAATGATTTGAGGTGACCGGTTTGGTCGAGTTTGTGTATAGCTTTTTACATATCTCGTTAGAGACTAGCGTTGATAATATTTTCTTTTTAACTTCCGTTTGGACCTCGCCATAACCTAGGACTCCCCAGCCGGAACTAGCGACTTGTGCTCCATCTGCCAGTGGTGCGTTTTTCGATAACGGTAGATATATGGGACTTATGTGCCCTGAAACAGTTAGCTACTTATATAGACTTGATGGCAATGCCAACTTACTTGAGTATTGTGCTGGTTTGGAAAGGCGTATTAGACCGATGTCATTAGCAGCGGAGAACCTAATGAATTTAGGATGCGGAATTACTCTTTCGGCACTAAACTCTTGAACAGTTCCATATCGCGCGTGGTTTGTATGCCCAAGACGAACTCCCGTTCTGTGGTTGTAAAGTTCACATATTTTAGTAAATTAAAAACCAAATACTCACAGTTTCGTACCTCTAGTTTTCAAGCAGTGCGCCACCGTAAGTATGTAACGTGAATTTATCAAAGACCCGGTACATTTGATTGATTTATCCTCATCGTATAACAATTGAGCAGTCCATGGAAATTCTTCAAATGATCCCCGGCCATCACATGCTTTGTCGTCGGTGTGCTGACTTCTAGCTGGTAAATTTTCCAGTAAACCCAATAGCAGAAGTATCGCTACCACCCACTGCATGGCTCTTGTAACTGAACAGAAAAAACACATTAAATAATTTATAGATCTGACACAATAGTGGTAATAATAAATTGGTGGTACAGCTTGATTGCACAAATGCAATGCAATATTCACTATTCAAGCACCTGCTCAGACAATTGTCTTTACTTTCTAAGGAAGTACTTTGTATTTATTTATTGAAAAAGAGATCGATGAATTGCTCATAACAACAAATCTATGGTTATACCTATATGGGAGGGAATTTCCATAAATGAAACTTAACCTCTCTCGCATGAACGGTTTTACCTATAATTGTGCCATAAATGAGTAAGAAAGAACCAACGTAGGTTGTTATACCATTACAATTAACGTGCCAATAGGATCATTATATTGCGTTTACGTGAACGTATTGGTAGGTAATCACACATAATTGCTCAATATGTAAATGCTCGTCTAGAAACAACAACGAAAAACTTTCTACTGTTAACCTTGTTACGTAAATTGATATTATTTATTTACGACAGTAACAAAATTGCCAAAATCAAATTGCAGAGGGATGCCTCTGGACTTTGATCGGGCCCCCAAAGGGGACAGTAGGTTTAGAACTTGGATACACAGCACCTACAGTCAAACATTGCTCTTTTTTATTTCTCTGTGCCTATGGTGATTGGTAGAACATATCGAAAGCGCAACCACATGTCAAATTAAACGTCTTGATCTATTATTATCCCATTGGCTAAATGATATTACAACTCATGTTTAACTTTTTTTACCATTATGTCACACTTCCAAAATTAGGTAACTGAAGTACTCTTTTATGTAATTTTAGGAGTCAAAGAGTTTTAAATCTCTCACTTGAGGAGGTCTGAATGGACCCTAGACCCAAGCCTCATGCATCATGGTGCCATAAAAATAACGATTTTCAACGAGTTACTCCACTAACATGAGAAATAATTGCATTCACATAATAGATTATCTATCACATAATTTTAATTCCAACATGCAAGTGGCCTTTATAATGTGAAATTTATTTTAAGGGTGTACAAAGAGACAAAGCTATACGTTTTTTGGTGTTTCTCAGAGACTTTTGAAACAGACTAGACGTTAATTTGCGACTTGGCTTATCTGTTAGAGCTTTAAGTACGGGCCCTTTCTTGAGTTTTTTAGGATCATCCTAAATCTAAGTAGATTTTTTACCGAGCTTTCAGATACGTTTAGATGCAGCATTCTTAGAGTCTTCTTCCTCGCTACTGCTTTGTATGTTCTTGGCAGCTCTAGAGAAGATTTGAGTTGTCCCTGAAATGCGCTGATAACGGCTTTTTACCGGAAAGTCACCGAACTATTTACTATAGTTTCATAACGCCTTTCTAAAATCCTCTAGTGTCCTCTCAAAACAGAATGCTCTGTGAACCACTTTTAACGCCTTTCAAAGCGTTCGAAACCTCGGTTTCTACAGCGCCGAAGAACCCTATAGCGCTAATCGAGAACATTCTATCCCATTTATAGAATGAATAGAATTTTCAAGATCCATTACAAAGCATCCTAGGCTAATTTGAGATCCTTTTTTAGGAGCAATCCAAGGCCTTTCCAGAATCTTTTAGACTTGAAAATCATGAAAGCTCTGCAGAAAGAATCTAAGGAGTAATGTAGGATCCGCTTTTCCGGGCTTTTCATGCTGCTAGTTGAGTTTTTTTTATTCCTCTCCTTTAATGCAAATTCTCGTTAATATTTTGAAGACTTTTCAAAGATATGAACAACAGTCTCTCATAATGGTGGAGCAGTCAGCAGTAAAATGCAAAAGCTGTTAAACCAGAAGCACTAATGACTAAATAAAGATGAAACATAATTTAACTTCTAAGAATTATTAAAAGTGTTTATTACAGCAGATTGTTTGTTTGGTGGGTGGACTACATAGGGCTTCAATGGACTCTAAAATAAATTTTTTAAAACACGAAATTTTTAAGAAAAAGTATGAAGGATTTGTAACAAAAATTGAAAGATTTACACTAAATCGTAGAAATCTAGAGAAGTTAAACGGCGAAACTATGATAAAATTAATTGAAAGTGAATTGAAACAAATTGTAGAATAAGGCAATAACAAAATTATTATATGCAGAAAAAATATGGCAAAAGAACCATTCTTTCAAATGATAGATACAATTCCTTGTTCATAAATAAATTTCACTATGGGCGAGTATATTAAGCGCGTTTTACATGCTGAAAGTTAAAATTCTCTTTGCCGAGGACCTTTCTTGAAACTTTTCGGTTCGGACGTCAAATATGTCACTCTCAGCAGACATTATAGGGCAGCTGCTTTGTGTCAGTTGATGGTAATTTGTGTTGACGGAAAGTAAAGGTAGATTATTGAGTGATATGCTTTCTCGTGAAATCCTATAGCGATTGTCGGTGCTGTAATTAAATAATTAAACAAGTTACGAATGGCATCCATCTAACCAATAGTTCATTAGGTTGGTATTATCAAAATTTCACGTGAAAGTGAAATAGAATTGCAACATGTAAAGCAGTTCGAAAGTTATTTCACTTTCAACTTTCATGAAATATTTTACAGCATGTAAACGGGCTGTAGAGCAAATGATATATCTGTTCGTAATTTGTTTTTGTTATCCAGTGATATTTATTAAGAAGTAGTATAGGAAGCAGCGTAATCCCTGGAATTTTCTAGTTGGAATATTGTTGCTTTGGCTACCGTCTTTTTATTCCCGTTCGTGTGCAATGTATCCAACTGAAGCAAAAGTTAATATTGTCAATTGGTACAGCGCCTGTAACAGTTTAAGGAGTGTAAGGGCCTTATTGTCCCACCAAAGCTGCGCGACAGCGATGCGACAGCGACACGATTTCGTCACGGCACAAGAAGGCGGCATGGAGTTGTTCCACTAAAGAAACGCGTTTTCTACATTGAATTCAGTGAACAATGTCATCTAGAGAAGATGAAGATGTGACTGCAATGCACTGGTACTTACGAAATGGAAATGAAAGATGCTTTTATTGCAAGAAACCAAAAAAAAACGGAATGTTTGTTGCTACTAAGGAACTTGACAGACAATCAGTGCATCTACTAATTTTTCATTCAATTTCTGTTCATTTTTCTGTTGTGCCATGGTATTCATTTCCAATTACCTCATTAATAACGCAAAATACGGCCGCCACACAGCTGAATGAATCAGAAACCGACCCGCAGCTTAGATGTTTCTTTGCTGTAGCATTGGTGGGTATACGGGGTACATAAACCTGCGTAAGCCATAAACCAAAAAATACATCCTTGCTACATCGTGTCGCTGTCGCATTAGTGAGTCATGGCCCTAATAGATTTATTTTCTTTGAAACCAAAGCAACAATATTCAAATTAATCTTTGTTTTAAAAAGTTATTTTGGTTTCATAAAATTAGGTGCACTTCAGCAGCGATTTTCTCAATTAAAAGTAGACATAGGGAAAAACAATACACGCAAATCCGTATGTCTGCTTCTTAATAAATATCACTGTTTTCACCATTGAGCATACGTCATTCCTGAGTTACGCCGAGAGCATGTTTGTTACAAGTGGATTCTTTTTTATGCGCAAGTGCGTTTAAGCGATCTACGCACTTTTTAGGGTCGTGTCACAGCTTTCTAGACTTTTCGGCGTTTTCTTAGCTTGCCATTTAGTTAAACACTACCTAAAGAGCAGAACGGGAAAAGCTCGAATCATACATTTTCCAGGTGTTTTCCTGTTTGGTTTTAAGTAAGACACTCTGAAAACTTCTGTTAATAGCAAAAACACTGGTTTACTTGTCAAAAAGTTGGCGACCAAATGCATGTGCATGAGTAATGCTTTTCTACCACATATATCGTTGACGATGGCGTCAGGCCTAAGGTTGGTGTTTTGTCTATTGATGCACGGTCACTCTTAAACCCATTGCGGATCTACATTTTATGTCGCTTTCCTAAAACACAATTTATTGCGACAAACAATTCCATGGGTTCGATTACTTACCAAGTGCTTTCTAGGATTGTAAAGGATTGGGCGTAATTAAGCAAACATTTTAGGCCAATTGATATATTTTGTATTGACTGAACAATTTTAATGTTGTACCCTTTTCACATAGAAACAGTTTGATATACATTTCTGCATTTGACACAGATTAGCAAATATGAAAATATGCTAAGGTGTGCAATATAATTAATATTGATAGTACATCTATACATACATTTACAATCACGTAGTAGTTATATAGGATTTTTTTTTATTTATATAGTCAGTCATGCATTCTTATTAGAGATGTGGCTGGATTAATCCCTAATGAGAAAGCAGCTGAGATGCAGAAGTAAATTTGGGAAACTTTAATCGTCCTCGATCGGATTTCGAGGACAACATAGTCTTTCCGTATGGTATTAACGATCTGTACATAAAACATTTTTTCCTTAACATACGTTGTCTTGCAGCTTCGATGACAGATTTGAGAAATAATTAGATTAACACATGAAACGAACTAACGAAAGCGTAATTAATAACTTGCTTGTGACATTTTTAAATAGTAAAGAAATGATATCGCATTTGCCGTTATGCACGCCATGGTCATTCGTCCAAAAAATTGATGCACCAATTTAACACTTAAACTAATCACGAAAACAACATATTCATGTTAAAAGGGGTGCATCAACTTTTTTAAGGACAAGGGGGACTTGTTGCTTAGCCCCATTTCTGAAATAATCCCATCCTTTGACACCTGCAGTTGGCTCCCCATAGGTTGCATCTGCAAGAGCTGTTGTAGCAGCAGTCGTTGGGTCGGTGATCGCAGTTCCCTCCTCTTCTTATGCACGCCCGTCTGAAAAGGTAAATTAAGGAAGAACGTCTGGAAAAGAGTAGAAATGTCATAAAACTATGGTAAAGCGACTTACTTTAACAATGAACAGCTGCCATTCTACATGTACCTAACCTTAAACTTACCAAAAACATGTCTATTTATTTCAGATGTCGTGCTGCAAAGATCGTGATCGTTAAGCTAAGAGATAAAGCTACGATAGAAAATCAAAACGCCAAAAACGGAAGCATGCAAATCACAGCTAAGCAAAGGTGGAAGGTTCAAAAGGTAATAGAACTCTCTGCGTGATAAAACCAAACATCAATAATTAATTACCGGATCA